GTTTATTTTTGTAAATAATAAAAATAATTTTTAAAATTTTTTAAGAATTCAAATTGGCCTTATAAAAATTTTTTTTTCGATTTCCAGATTTTAGGGTTGGGGACCCGCAAAAATTTTAAGAAGCACCCCAAAAATTTTTCGAAGTGCGTGGCTAACACCATGCACCTTCATTTGGAAAAAAATTTTCCGCCCCCCCCCCCTCCGGAAGGAAATCCTGGGACCGCCACTGATGCATGAATAAGGAATTACCAGGATGGCTGTGCAAGATGATCCAAATGCAAAATGAATGTCAAATGTCATTTAACGGCTTTTTTTTTTCGTAAGTCATAATCCCTTTTAAGCTTTGACTTCTCCATCTGTAGCATATAGTGAAGCAGTACATTCAAAAGGATTTTGAAGAAATTGATTGAGTCCATTTCTATCCTCAAATCGTTTAATTCATGAATTCATTTTTATAGAATCACTAGCTGCATACCCGGCTACGCCCGGGTTACTTTTTAGATATTTAGCAGATTTATCAATATGTAAATCACTTTACTTGTTACGATTCCTATGACCTATACACAAAATGTTTTACTTGCGAACTCAGTGTCAGTCCAAATTTTGAGTTGATTTAACAGTAATTTTTGAAAGAGGTAACTCAAATCTATAGATAAAATCACATTGTAAAAGTTCAGAATAAAACAGAATAAGGAGTAGGTCAAATTGCGAGAATACAACACATCCATCTATACTTGCTACTTTGACATTTCTGTTGGGATTTCTTGAAAAGGCGTGCTTATTTTACTTAACAGGTTTGCTCGGCTCCCACGAATGTACTCGTAAACATAGTGGAATGGGAGTGATTTCACTGTTCACAATAAGAACATTTCCATCGTGCCGTCCTCAAATCGGTTACTTTCTATCTTTCTCCATTGCTTTCATAACAAGATATCCAACAACACCTTCCCATTTTGTGGGCATTTTGCTCCACCAAGTGGACTAACTGTGACAAAAGTGAGCGTAACCTAGATTTCCTTATAACGCTACCACAGTTAGAAATCCTCCCATATTTCCACGTCTTGCGACAAAAAACGTTACTTTTTCTGTTCATAAAATCGAAAATATTTTGTAGATGACTGTCACTAATGTTGTTGTTTCTGGTTTTTATCATAAATTCGCAAAAGAAAATTCGATTCCTATGACGTACATGCTGATAGAAGTGATACTTTTAAGAGTTAGCGCCCATAATGTTGCGGAAGGATCTTACACACTTCAACGTAATCGTACTTCATTTTGAACGTATAAGGTTACCTACCTGAGGTAATGTTCATGTCACTGCGCTTTGCTTGCAAAAACTCAAAATGGGGAGTACCGCTACTATTCAACCTCCTCAGGCTAATGATCTGATAAGCCCTTCATTTCCTAGTTGTAAGTAAACAAATCAACAAATCGATAGAAGGACCCAGAAGTCGCGAAAAGTAGCCTATCTTTCGCGCCGTGTCTCATTTTTAGGGAAACAAAATTCAGCCTTTTCGGTTCACATACAAGAGCGCGTATAAGACGGAAACATCCTAACAAACAAAGGTACAGCGTTTGAGTTTAGATATATACCCCCCCCCCCCCGAGAATGGGTCGCAAAATTTTTGAAAATTACTTATATGAGTTATAAAAATGCGAAAGTGACTTGCTTATTTTTGTAAACAATTGAAATAATTCTTAAAATTTTTTAAAAATTCAAATTAGCCTTGCAAAAAAATTTTTTCGGGGGCTCAAGCCACGCCCCCTTTCAGAGGTTGGAAACCCGCAAAAACTTGAGAAGCACCCCAAAAAATTTTTCGGACTGCGTGGCTAACCACGCACTTTCATTGGAACAAAAACTTTTGTCGCCCCCCCCCCTTCCTGCAATAATTTTCTATTACCTCTATTTCTAGAAAATCACTGGAAAGATATAATTGTTTAAACTCATCCATCGCCTGATCGATCTTGTGGCGTCGCTCCTGGTCCCTTTTGCGAAGAATGCTGCATGCATTAGGCGTAATTTTGTTTTTATGAAATTTGCCAGTGTAAAAATTTTGATACTCGGAACGGTGAAGCATCAAAATAATTCCACTAGCGAATACTATGAAATGATATCTATGATATGTTTTTTTTCTTGAATTGGTTGAAATTTGATACAAACAAATTGAATTTTTTTAAACAAACCTTGTACATGTTCTTATGAAAAAATTCTCTACATACATATTTGAAAAGAGCGTACTTGAGAACCCCTAAATCCAAGTATTCACTTGGTTTGGCGGAATTTCGTTACTGAACTTTGTATTTCAATTTCGTTTGAAATCCCCGTTTCATTATCACAGGGTGCATCCTGGTGGACCTCTGCTAGGTTGCGAAAGGTATCTGGATTGAGGCGGGGCCTAGGGGCCTAGCATGCGCTCCGCAGATGTGTTAATTATCGTTATTGACAACTCATGACCTCCAAAATTACATCTCAGTTGGCTGTCAGGGGACTTAAGTTCCGTTCCCCCCCCCCCCGGTCCGAAAACCTGGGACCGCCACTGATAAATATAGAATTTGTGGGGCCATCACCCAAATAATCCGTTATCCATGCATTTGTCCACAATGCGAAGGTTTTAACAAATTCTTCAAGAAAAAATGATGGTTTGCTACATATTTGCTTCTTCAGAGATTTTTTTGGTTTTTCAGCTGTAGGCTTTTTTTATTGGTAACGGTCGCCAAATTATGGCGTCCCATATTGCCACTCTAAAGCATAAAATGTTAAATGGCTTCTCGAACTGATACATTGCGAAGCATGATTTGGGATGGCTTGTTGACATTAATTTGATCAATAAAGCTTGAGCATATCCTACTTAGGCAATTCAGCGTCAAAGCCATCTTAAAGTGCATTTTATGTTCTTGAACTGCGAAAAAAGCCACTATTAGGTCCTTAGCTCGAGATGGCTTAAAGTTGCGGGGAACGATTTTAGCTTCGAAATCATAAACCATGACACGCTTTGACGGAGGCTTTAAGATTTTTCGCTGCCTATATGCTAATTGGATTCCTTCCCTATATATTAGGTTCATTCATGTTAGCTAAGTCATTCTATGGTTGCAGATACAAATTTTCTTCTAGTTTGTCTCTCCTCTTTGAAGTGTTTTTTTCTCAGTTTCTGCGTTCATAGTGTTGAAAAAACGCAAATAAGGTAAAAGAAGTTATTACAAAATTATTCAAAGACTTTCTTTTTTGGTACTGCACACCCTATACGTTTTGGCTTCTTGCAAGTTTTTCTTATTCATTTTATGAACGTACTATTCGTACTGAAAAGGGAGTATACGACCTCCGCCTGAACCAGCTACCATTTTTTTCGACTGCTATGCACGGCTGAGCTAATATGCATAGGGCTGCAAGGCTCTGCAGCTGTTATAATTGCTGTGTTATGCACGAATTGAGGTTATTCGAACTCGCCTAGTCCATAAGCAATTTGTCAAATTCCGACTAAAAAATCAAGAAATTTCCTGTCTGGTTTTTCTGTAATATTGAGCATAAGTAGGATGCTCCACAAGTTATCGGAACCTAATTTTGTTCAGTGATGTTTCGAGTGGTCCAGTTGATGTGCGATTGAGTTACTTTATGTATTGTACTTCAAAATAAGTGTGTCTCTCGCTTCGAATGACTACAATTCAGTGCTGGTAGCCCTAATAGCATGGCGTCACAGTCAAATAAAGAACAATAACGAAATTAGTTTGAAATTTATGTGACAACCTAACACAAATTTTCTTCTATTCTGGTATATGCTTCTAGAAACGGAAGCAACGGTCAAAAGTGATGTTCGAGAAGTTCCGTATCGAACATCACTTTTGACCCATTCTAGACTTTTACAGAGGCTTTCGGGATGCGGTATACATTTTGAAAGATATTTTTGCTCTTCCTCGAATTTGCTTGCTTGGTGACCTCAATTTCAAAGGTTCAGGACAAAAAAAAAAGAATTTGGGATTTTGGGTTTTTTCTCAATGTAAAGCGAATATTTTCTTCATTGATGAGAAAAAGCGGCCTGATTCTAAAAACAGATAGAAGCTTAGTCATGTGTAATGTCAGTGGAGAATGTTAATATTTTTACAAAACGTCGTGGCTGCACGTTTTTCCTTAAACATCTTTAAGCAGCTGACTTGCAGGATATTACACATCAATCTTTTCTACGGAGGTTCCGCATTCTTCCTCTAAACTCTTTTCTTGCACCTTTTTATTCTTAATCTCGGTCTATCCACTCTGAAGCCTTGAACCTTCATGAAGGAGAGGAAAATGGAGATTTCTATTATAAAAGCGTTTTGACCTAGACTGTAAGAATAAATTATTACGTATTGAAAGATCCAGCAATCATGGAGCAAGCAATTCTCGTAATGCATACTACGACCATTTTTCTTTCGCATTCCTTCGCGCGGACAAAGCAAAATTTGGATACAAGCCAGACAACTTACTTAAGCTTGCGTAATTTTCCAGAAGAAAGCATAAGCGAAGGACTTCTTTTCTGAGTGCCAAGGCCACAATCTAGTCTGGAAGAATTTTTTTTAGAGTGACAAGGCCACACTCCAGTCTGGTTTTTGCACAACTAACTCAGCTTTCTAGCGTCAAAAAAAAAAACAGATACCTCAAAATAGATTATGTACGATACAGAATCAGAATAAGTATTGTACTAATTTTGCACTTGTATTTTCTTGTGACTTACAAAGATATTTCTAAGCTTATCCTTAATGCAAAGTTGGATCTCATCCACAAGGGAGCTATCAGGTTCTGATAATCGTCCACAACAATGTAGAATCCGATCCTGTAAAACTTTGGCTTCAGGATAATTTCTGGTTTGTCATATTCTGGTTGTCTTCCTCTAACACTTAGCTTTGTTCCAATAAATCTGCAAACATTTTTTTGACATCTCAATCCTATTGCCATAAATCGACTTAGCTAACGCGCGTTCGCGCACGCTTCTCGGACGTTGTAAATTCCGAATGCGTAAGAGTGCGGTGACGGTGGTGGCAAGGCGGTTTTCTTTGCTGTAATGCAGAGGTTGTGACATCCACGTCCGACATCGACGACGATCCGGTTCCGCCTTTTCATTCTGTAGCTGTTTTCGGCGAAAAGTTATTCTTCATACATGGAACGTCGTTCACTTGCACTCGTCGCCATTCTGAGCAGCGTCGGTGCTAATTTTTCACCGGATTTTAGCGACTTTTTGGAGGAAACCTATGGCAAGGTATGTTCTGATTCTCGGGATAATCTTGATCTTAAAAAAATTTTCTGAGCTCTAGAAATTCGCCAACCGAATGGAACGACGAGATCTCGGTCCTGGAGGTAGCTTTGGCGGTGGGAAGCACAACGCAAGCACTAGAACGTCGTGAGTTTTTTAATATGAATAAATATATTTAATATAATTGGTTACAAAAATCTCTTATTTGTAATTTTAATATCTCCGCCAAAAAAACTTATAATTTTACCTAGCCTTGAAATTCCCGCCTGTTTTGTCACATAAACTCAAAATAATTAATTCCCTTTCAGGTTTCAGAATCTCTCGTTTCATGCTATAGTATAAACTCAATTTAAAAAATTCCGTCATGTTTTATAGATTGAGAATAAAATTCTCGGTTCCATATCTTATGAAACACAGATAAAAATTTCCTGTTTCATATTATATAAAATCCTTTTCATGCTATGAATTCGAGATAAAAAATTCAAGTTTTATGCTTTATGGATTTGAAATCAAAATTTTCCGTTTCTTACCGTACATAATGCAAACAAATATCCCGTTTCACGTTTTATGATTTCGAACTAAAGATTCCTGTTTCATATACGACATAAAAACCCTTCCATAACACATGAAATCCGTATAGAAAGAATACTGATATGTTATCAGAATTTGAGTAGATTTCCGATTTAGGTAAAAAATACTTTGTTTTTTGAGATTCAAAACATTGGAGTAGTCAAATTTTCGATCATTTCACAGAAATTTCACATCATAAATTCCTGTCTCAATTTTCCAGAAAACAAGCTGTAGTAATTGTTCACGGCATTACTAACACAGCTGCGAGATTTGAAGCTACTCGACAGTACCTGTTGAGAGTAAGGGTTACTGCTTACGGTACACAGCTTTCTGTTCACATTTCATTTTTCCAGAACGGCTGGAAAGAATCTGAAGTGTATGCAACGACTTATGGCGATGGTGGCAAAACAGTGGCTCCATTATTCGACATGAAATGCGATTACGTGAAACAAGTCAAGCGTACTACCAAGCTTTCTTCCACTTCAAATTTTGGGGAGAAATCAATATTTTGCTGTTTCAAATCTGGGGAAAAATCAATATCTTGGAACTACTACCTAAAAATTAGTTTCTTTGCTGGAATCTGACCTTCATTAGATTTGGAGAAGAAGTTTACGCAAAAAAATCAGTGATTCTGAAGTATATTTGAACAAAATAAACCTGAATACGGTCTTAAAATTATTTTTCGGCGAATATGCTTTGTTTTTTAGGTGCGATGGATGATTCAAGCAGTGGCTGAATTTACGAAACGACGGGTGGATGTGATCGCTTATTCTATGGGTTCGCCTGTGGCTAGAAAGGTGTGTTTCCTCTCAAATTTTAGTCTTTGAAAATTATTACATATCAGTCCTAAAACAAGAAAACATTTTTAAAAAGCCTTATTTATCCAATTACTATGCAAAGGTAAGCTTAAGTGTCTCCAACTGAATGAAGACTTGCATTTCATGTCTAAAAACCCGTGACTACGAAACCAGTCCTTGTTTTCTTGCAAACAATTCCCTGTGAAAAAGTTTCATTTTTCGGTATTTATTTGGCAATCTTGGTGCCGTGGTGCGTAATTCGATATTTTTGTCAACATACATAATTCGTCCCAGTCGCACAATCTCTCTTTCTCTCTTACGCTGCTAGGTTTTTTTCTTTTCTTCGAGACTATTGTCAAGCAATTCAATTGTTTCTATGCACTTCACAGAATGTCTTGATGCAGCAGCATAAATATTGGTGCAGTAACAAAAAACAAATAGATAAAAGACGCCGCTGTTGATGCAACAATTTCGGAGACGTTCAGTGGAACAGATTTTGCTAGTATTTCCATGACTAGTATGTAGAGTAGATTAATGAGTAAAAGGGAGATTGCTTGTTTTGACTTTCTTTTGGGCATCTTGTCCAGTGGTGGACAAGTTGTGAGTGTGACCGTATAATGTGTCATCAACATCAATGACACGACTGCAAACGCAGAAACATATACTGCAGTGCTAATCTTTGCCCAAACTCCATTCGATCAATGTAAAACTCTTTCCCTGAAAAAACTTACAAAGTTCGAAGAACAATTGCAAATGCTTTCCGCGTACGAGAAGTGCGTAAAGATGAGTACCGTAGTTTTTGAAGCTTGCTCCGGTAGAATCCATTTATAAAAGTAAAGGTCGATCCTTTGTACATTTCTTCCCTTGTGTGGGAATATGATCCCTACTGGAACGAGATAACTCTATTTATTCCAAGTAACCACAGATATTAGGAGAAAAAGCTTTATAACACTTATAAAACTTTCTTCAAGACTCTTATGCATGTGTAGTATTTAACTTACCAAATCCTTAAACATTTTGTTATAAGAGCATTGCCACGTATCTATGCAATAGAAAAATTTGCACAAAATATTTTCTTCTGAGCCTTTGGTATAGTAGCAGAATTCTTTTCTGCGATGCCCACTTATGGGAAAAAATTAATGGGGAATAAATCACCATTGACGATATTTTTGCCTAAGACTGCACTTGTTTTCTGAAAACTCGATCGGACATTCTCTCAAACGTTTTGCTATATTACATGCTTTCTTTGCCTTTTCGGACATTGCTTAGTTGAATCGGAAGAATCGCCTTCCACGAATTTTATGCATTGACCGGAATCGCTTGAACCGTGTTCAATCCCATTCAGTACCACGAAAAAAGGACTTCCGTATTGTAATAAATTGATTGCGCACACCATTACGCAAACCTGAGGCATTGCGGTGGGGGCCCTTTGCTGCAATTACGGTAAGGGCTTTTTTTACGAAAGCACACTATGATAACTATAGGCAATCCTTGGTGGTAGATGCGTAGACACAAGTGAATCGCTGGGACCACCTTTGACAGCTTTAGTCGACACCTTCGTTTCCGTCGCCGGTAAGCTATATTTTGAGACATTATCATAGTTTATTTTCCATCATACCTTTATTTAGGAGCGAATCATGGCTCATTTTTGTGTATATTGCCGTTACCCGGTGCTTGCAATATGGTTACTGGGCTTTCATGTCATTCACGTTTTCTGCAGAACATAAACAAGAGGTAAGCAATAAACAACAGGCTTCATTTGCCCTATACAAGATAAACAAACAAACAAATAAGTAATGGACATTGTTGTTGTGCTACCAACACAAGCAATAGCGCAAAAAGATGTTGCATTACTTTAGACTCTTGAGAAATACGGTTGGTAGTCTACATACAGGGTGTCCCAAAAAGATGTGCACATTGTTTGATTGTTAATAACTCTCTTGCTTTCATGTCTTTTGCCAAGCTTGAGGTACCATTCTTTAGAGCAAGGTTCAACTTAAATTTAAAGTATGGAGCGACTTATCAGCAGCTCTTCATTACTGTAGAATTACGGTAGGAATTTCAAGGAGGATTTTAAGCCTTTGAAAGCGATATTTTGCCTCAGAAAGAAAGCCAAACAAGCCAGAAACTCTTGAAGTGGGTTAATCGAAGTTGCTAATTCTGAATATGAAAATCGCACGTCAGTACACTGTTTCTTTCATGAGCTATCTCAGATTTAGGGTAACAACTGATTTTCCAATGTTTGTCAGAAATGTGAATACGCCATCAAGAAAGCTCGAAAAACTGGTGGAAAATCATGTAGTGAAATCAGCACGCCTGTAAACCTTGTTGCACACATTTTTAGATTTTTTGGAATTATTTCAACAAAAGGCTTATTCCACAGTGACGCTGTATGCTGAAAGTTCATACCGTTATCCTACAGTAACGAAGAGTGATTGGTGATTCGCTCTATACTGTAAATCTAAGTTTATCCTCGCTCTACAGAATGGTACCTCAAGCTCGGCAAAAGACATGAAAGCAAGAGAGTTATTAACGATCAAACAGTGTGCACATCTTTTTGGGACACCCTGTATAGCGGTAATGGTAGGGATACGGCAGAAAATCTGCTCGACAAGATTGCGAATTCCGTTTAAGAGCAAAACAACATATAATCAAGAAAGAAAACGCGCAGAATACGGTAATGTGTGATAAAAATACAGCAACATTTTTACTATGAGCAGCTGAGCGAGCACCTTTCCATCAGAGCTTACAGTTTTTTTTCAAGGTTGGAATAATGCCATACTGAGTACTGTGAACTAGAGTTTATACTTCCATTTTTTCAGGCAAAGGTACGAAGGAAGACACATATTTTCCATTTTCTCAGCGGATGATGATAAAGTCGGTTTTCGAAATGCATGCGGAGAGATCACCTCCTCCATAGCCGGTTCTGATGGCGAGTTTCAGGTAAGCGTTGTCGTAATCAAGCTATAGAACTTAGCCAAAGCAGGTGGGTAATGAGCCATGGGTATGTGGATCACTTTATAGAGCTGTAATAAAATATGGAGACGACAGTTGACCAAGAGGTTGACTAGAACAAGCTTTACCGCTTTAACCAAAAAGTGTTCGAGAAAAAAGAACCTCCTCCACCTCTTCACCTCCACTTAGTCGAATGACTACTACTGATCCAGAAATGAATGTGAAAATTGGCATTACAGTTCAAAAAGTGTACTATATAACACAAAAGGTTTGAGTTAACTGGAATTACTTCGTCGCTGCCAAAGTTTTTATTTCTATTCAGCGAATCTTGAAACAGATGTCAACATAATCGCGAAAAATTCTGTTTTTCGATAAGGTGGTAATACAAAGCAAACTTTGATGCGATTACGACCAATAGATGCAAACGAAAGAAAAGAAATACAATAAAAGACATGTGACCATAAGGACGCCATTTGGTGTGCAACATAGGGACGCACAGAAAACATTGCCACTGAATACTCACTCGTGTTAAGGAGCAGTATAATTCTCGGGGCATAGCCTCCAAAAAATTTTGGAGCCTTCACAGAATCAGGGCTCGGCACAGGTGGCTTACAAGCAAGCTGGATATCGTTTTTTTTTTAACGAAAAGCAAAGGAGATTTCGTTTTTGTGGCCGAAATACACAAAATTTGCGACGTCGACCTTTTTTAAGTCGACGTTTCGTTTTTCAGAGGATTTTAAGGGATTTTGGTCTGGGATCAAAGGGGACTTCGTAAAAAGCAGCAAAATTCAAGGGGGACTTTGTTTTTGCATTTTCAGTTAGCCACCTCGTGCCGAGCCTTGCCAGAATTTTCTCAAGTTTATAATCTTGAATTTTTGGAAAAGAACGCATACGCTATCAGTTGCCAAGGGATGTTAACAAGGATTGCATAATATTTACATTTTTCAAAAGTCGTTGAACATCTACAAACGAGGAGATCATTTAGATATCTTTTTTACCTAAACGAAGTTGGATAAAATGTGACACTCTCAGAAGAAGATTATTCCATACTCTTGTCGAATTTTGAACCGTAGAAAACAATAGGAAGTTGCAAAAACTGAAGAATAATGCGATGTTGAAATCTAAGTACTAATTCTACTTTTGTCAGTGCTTTGAAATGAAGTGAACTTAGCAGAAAGATTTACAGAATCCCCAACCATTGACTTTTTATTTCAGAAAACCGGTAATCACGACCAAGTCATGGCGAGTACGATAGCTTTACAAGCACAACTTATCGATAAGCACAGTCCGAAAAAACGACGTTAGCTACATTCATAGGTTCTGTGATATTGACCTCCTAATATGTTTTCTTTGTTGAACTAACTAATAGAATATCTGTCTGTACATACACGCCTAACTTGCATATTACTCGAAAGTTCATTTTATTTATGCTAATGATTGTTGAACTATTTTTTCCGGGTGTTTTTCACTGCATAAAGTTTCCGATACTTCACTGTCGTGGCGATGTGAGTTGTCTTTGATAGGTCGGTCACCTTGTGTGACTGCACCATTTTTGTACGCTAGAGCAAGCAGCAGAGGTTAAAAAACACTGAAATAATCACAGGGCGACGAAAAGGCGACAAAAAGTATGCATGAAAGAGAGGGGCCTGATACTTCGACATCGTCCTACCTGAGAGTCAAAAGTAGTGCAATTACACTAAGCGGCTGATCAGGAATGATCACTCAGACAACTCACCGGAATTTCCGCACGACAAGCAAAATTTGCAGCGGTTCCGCAGGATTTTGTTTACTATTGAAAAAGTGGAAACGTTGAAATGGGAACTTCCGCAGGATTTTCACGTCACACTTGTTAAAAAAGGGAAAGAGAAGGTCGCAAAACCCATGTTTGTGACCGTTTCGGTTTCTGCTGTGACGTTTTCAGGCGTTTTGAGCATGCTCAAAAAAGCCTAAAAACAAAGTAAAGCTGAGGTAAGTCTCTTTATTATATTTGCTTCTAACTCTCGACCTTTTTCATTTTAATTTACGGAAAAGATAGCAAAAAGCATATTTTTCTCTAGCGAAAATACTTTAAAATTTTCTGTGGCCTCTTGAAAAATGCCATCCTTGAGTAATTTTATTTAAATGCTTTTAACTCTCGGACTTTCTCATGGCTGAATGGCAATGCTGCTGTAAAGAGAAAGGCTCCCTCTTGCAAACAAAAATAGACCTAGGAAAATGCATCGAGAACGAAGGAAGTTATGATTTTTGAAAATCTGCTGAACGAACTTTTGAGCCCACCTAATATGTTGGAAGACAGTTCCACACAGAAAAAAAGGCAAAAAGACAAGTAGAAAGGAGTGAGGGACTCTAAAAATGTCAAACGAGACTTCGTAAAGTTCTTGTAAATTCATGCGGAACTTCGTCTCAGAAGCTCTTCGGTTCCATTTCGTGCCGAGCCCTGAACACAATCATCCTTGCGCCATATTCAGGTTGAGAAACAGCACAACCAAGAAAAAACGATTTTCAGAAAAAAAGCTCGAAGATCGGAACAATCTTGTACTCTCGGATCATGTTGTAGACGTCTAATTCACAATCTTCATAAGCTCCAAAAGTCTGATAGAATTCCAGTCCCCTCACCTTTCCCTCTCCAGAAACATTTGATATGATTGTTACAAGCACGCCATCAAGTACATATGAACTCGTACGAGGGACGAACCACTTATCCTGGAGACCCTTTTGAACTTTAAGGATTTGCCCCCAGAGGAGTTGAGAGCAAAAGTGCATATGAGATGTTTGCACAAATATTTTGACGGATAACTTTATCACCATCTAAATAAATACAATTTTGCATCTATTTTCTTTCCAAAAACTCCAGTTCAACTTCGCCTAACTGGGACAAAAGAACATTATAATCATACATTATTGGTATCATACTGAACCGTCATGTTAAGAATTTTCAAAGAGATCTATAACGAATTTGTACAACAATATTATAAAAGAGCCAGCTTGTTTGCACATTCAAGAATGTGCTCATGGAATTGTTGAGACGTGGAAAATCTATCATCATGACAGAGTGAGCAAATCATCAGCCTCGGTTTGGCGATAGGCCTATTTTCGGGGCTGTACACGTAGTTCAGCGGGATGGTCCCAGAATCAGACATCTGCAAGTGAGCATTGCGCATAGATCATAACTCAAGAGCTAATGGTCATCACCTGGATAGGGACAGGATCTGGCGCGATATCAGTCTTGCATAACTCATTCACCAGGTGATCCTCATAGGCTACAAAAGTCGGAAACAACCTGCGACAAATCGTGCACAACTGTCCTGTATGTTTAGATGGATGGAAATGCGATGCCGAAGGCTGAAAACCATAAAATAAATTTTACAACAAGTTGTACCTCCCCCCCATTGTTTTTCCAAACAGTTTTAACAAGCTATACAATGGAAAATCGGATCTAGAATATTGACTACAAGAAGTATTCCAAAACTGCGATCTTACTTTTATTACCACTTCAACACTTCATAGGACTTTGTTAACTGAGAGCGTAATTTTACTTCCGTAAGACTGCATACCAATCTAATGTTCTTTTTTAAGCTAGATTATTTTTTAAACCATCCCAGGAACAAGAAATCAATCTTATTCACGAAGACTTTGTAGGCTCTCTCATTTTTAAAGGTACTGTATTCTAAAAAAAGAGGATCACACAGCAATTTGGGCGCATTCTTGCATATGATCTTCAGGTTTATTTCAAAACGGTAGATTCATGAGCTAAATACGAGTCCGACGACTACCAAAGTCATCAAAAACAACTTTGTTGCATTACGATAATCTGTTGCATTGTGTTCCAAAAAAGATCCATATGCTAATTATGGGAAACAAAGAACTGAGGATATTAGATAACAGATCGAAAAGCATAGCTGAGTAATTCACAGTTGTCTTTCATACTCCATGACTCTCAATTCAACAAAGATGAAATGAACTGACCTCCGAACAAAATTGGATCTTTCTCTGCTCATGTATTGGCAGCTCATGCAAAGATTTTGGCCGACTGAGGACGGACAAGCACAATTCACTGAAGAAAAAAGTATTACTGGTGGAGAAAGAACAAGCCAAAGCTAAAAATCTGCTTACCTTAGGCGTGGTACAACACAAACGGAAGATGAACCACCCTCGTCCTTCGGAAAGCGCACGCTGCCCAGATCTACAGCCTGTGACAAGAGTTCTTCCGCATTCAGGATTTCTTACAAAGGCCTGAGAACACTACCTGTGGATTGACTACACGTTCCAGTACAGCTAATGCATCCTTAGCCTTGCTTCGAAATCCCAGCAAGGCAATCCTTTGCTCTGAAATTGAATTGTTATGTGCAGACTGCTTGCACGAACGAAGTCATTCCCGTTACAGCAAATGAGTACAACATCATCTTTACATCGCTAGTTGAGTTTCTCCAACGATATAAACTTCATGAATCCTCATAATAGTTGTTTCACAATTCTAACCAAATAAGAGTCATGCTATAGTATTAACCAGGATTTTTATAGACTTCAACTGCATTTTTTTCGGAACTCTGCAAGCTTCTGCAAATCATTTGACCTCTCTCTTATTCACTTACTAGCTGATCTGCCCGGTCCAGCCCGGGAATGATCACTGATCGGGAATGAAGATAAGGTATTCGGTGGCATTGTATAAACTGTGTAAAGAACAAAAACAAAATGTGAACACTTATTAGTCGGTAACATACCTCTCTTTCTCCAAATCAAGTTCAACACGCAAAACCTAAGCAAGCAGCGCGAGTTAATTGATAACAGCGCTCATTGTTATCATGAGGATCATTTTTTGTGACACTTTGCCGTTAACCGGCTACTTCATCTTCATTCACTGCTTGCCGTCAATTTTTGTGGAGTCGGCAGTACTTTGCACTCGCGCACTTTCCTGGTCCCAGGGATCAACTATAGCGAATGTGAGTTGTCGCTTGTCTTGACTATATTTCTGGTATTGACAAATAATTTGTGCGCAATCTCATGAAAAATTTTGACCCCTCATTGTTTAGATTGAGCATGTAACGAAGAAAGCATTGATTATAAGCGTAAATTGAGCACGCTTCCATACAAAACACTCGCTACATAGCACTCATGGTCTCTTGCACGCTAAGGTTTCCGCATAAGATACATTTAGTGCATCCATTTAAATGAGCAATTGAGACTCATATCAAGAACACTTTTCACTGCACTTCGTCAACAGAAGTTCACAATGAGACATGCCAGCCTTGTTTACATACCCCTGTTTTGATAGCAAATGATAAGAATCATTTTTATTGCAAAGTGCTGCAAATCAATAAATCGATAGAAGGACCCAACGAATCGCCGCAAAAAGTAGCCTATCATCTGCGCAAGGCTCGAAAACATATGTGTGTAAAGTTTCAGCTTAATCGGTTGAGCGGCGCGCGTTTCTATAACGCACATACCCTCCAAACTGACAATTTTTGAGTTTTATATATATATAGATTTCCTAACCATCCCCTCAGTATATTTAGCCGTGGCGGTTCTGAATCTCAGTGAAGTCACTTTTCACCTTGCAAAAAAAACTATACCCTCACTCTCGTGTGGTACAAGATTAGTTTACAATATTAATACTCCTGGCGCAGGTGACTACAAAACTATAGAAAAATACAGAGGTTGTGTTTAAACTGACAAGGTGAAATTTTTTCCCTTGCTACATGTCATTTTTCATCCGTACGGATCGTAAAACCCACCATTATTAAAATCCTGCACATGCCTGGAAAGATTCTTGTTCGGACAGCTATGATCTTGAATCACCGAGAGGAAGCGTGACGATAACGTGCACGTGTCACAAAACCATGGGAACACCCTCGCTTGCGGACGATAGTAAAGCAAACGATTTCGAATTCTCTGACCTTCAGCACGTCGAATCTTCCAGCGACGAGGATTTCTGAAAATCTCTAACAGTAGACCATACATTACGTTAACATCAGATGTCATGGGGCTTGAAACTGCACATAAAGGAGACGTGAACCCACGATTTTGTCAGGAAAAACCTGCTTTGGTCTTTGCAAGGAAAAATCAATTAAGCATATCATTTTCGATGTTTAAAAAAATTAACAAATCCCTGAATGTAATTTCAAGACCCAGCAGGATTCGTAGAATAGCTCAATCATAATTTGAACTAACACAGACACCCCCTCTACAGGCTTCAAAACGCAAAAAAAAGCAGTATCAGGTGACACTTTCACTAAATTATAAACAAATCTAACCACATGAGCACTAAACAATGATTGAGAAATAATCTTTTTTCTCCGCTCATTGCAGCACATATTCTATTACACTTCAGCTTCAAATCAATAGCATCACTCAATGAGCTACACAGCAGATCAGCTTTCTTTTTTCTGCGACATTTCCAATAATGATTCCCTCCACACCAATTCCACTGTTACCGCAATGTGTTTTCCCAATTCACAGTTTGATATTCCGAGCTTCTTTTTTTTTTGAGTTTCACTGAATGGTTCCGTAACACCTAAATTTACGTCATATCATACAATCCTTATAAAAAAACATTGACTTTCGAATCTATGGCAGGTCTTCTAGCGAAATCTAGCAAATAGGGAGAAATTCTTCATACATTATGGATCACATAATCAGGGATGTAAAAACTGTTAAATAAAAATTACGAAAATGCTATTTTTCCACTATTCAACATATTTCTACCAAATTGTCAGGATTCGAACACGCTACTGCATGTCATATAAACCCATACTAGATACCACTATTTACTTTTTCGTTGCTCTATATTTTTGTGAAAGAAAATCATAATTTAAAATCCATGTTAAGGCAACATGAATAAACTAATTAAAGAAAGCGATTCGATAGCAAAAGTAGACTATGAAACCACAAAACTATTTTAGTTTCTCAGACAAATAGAAACCTCCGCATTCATATAAAAGATTCTTGGTTGAATAGAACATGAAAAAATGAAGATAAAATAATTGCACCTTTCATTATCTACAAGTAAATCAGAAGACTCCATAGCTTCGATGTGTCCCGAGTTATGTAATAGACGACAATGATTACAAATTAAAATCAACGTCCAAACACTAACTGATCTTCTTGTTGAAAATGCAAGATTCATTTCTATTAACATCTGCTTTAATATCTTACTTTCCAATTCTCATCCAAATAAAAAATGAAGAGACTTACCGTTCAACCATTATTCGAAGAGATGGATGCAAGTGCTGCAGATATTTTTTAGGGACGTCCCATATTCTTTGCATGCGAATTTTTCTTCTCTTCATCCTCTTTGCCGTTGAGACTGTGGATAGTCGCGGTGGTCGCAGAGGAGGTAAAGGTAAAGGAAAGAGCAATCTGCAATTTGCACAAGTCGCAGAGTTCTCTTTGATCCACACACAACTAGCAGATAATCGAGTAAGAAAAGTTTAGCGATGAGAAAAAAAAAAGCAAATTTCTTGTTTTAGAGTGCTCATATCGTAACTGGCTCGCACTTCAGCCAAACATTCCGACTCGGATATAAACTAATTCTTATATGTAAAGCGAAAGGAGATCCACGGCCAACGATCAAATGGTATAAGGAAGGAGCAGAGCTACACCCAAAGCATAACGTACACGTATGTTATTTCTCTATGGAAACAACGTACGTTCAAAGAATGTTTCTTTTACAGTACTACGAAAAACCACTGAGCGATGACATGTTATGGAGTAAGCTGGAGATTGGTAAGTATAGACAATTTTGTTTTTCTTCGATTTCTCGTGTTTTCGTGGGGTTACGTTTCTGAATTTGATTGATAAAAACGATGAATTTTTCGGATATCACTATGAATTCATTACTCTGCATGAAAGACTCAAAAAATCAAGACAATGAGGCAAATTTCACCTGCATTTGTTCCGATTTTTCTGAGGTAGCTATTGAGCAAAAAAAATTATTCGGCACAAGGTTCTTTGGCATTATTATGTCGCATTTCGTTTCGATAAGGAGGAAAACATAATACAAAACTGAAGCGGTCGCCTAACTTTCTAGAAGGAAAAAAATATGACCAGCGAATTCAAAAAATTAACAAGTCTTTCAGATTTTTCTTTTCAAAATATGAATGCAAATTGTTGTTATAATGGAAATGAAACTTTGTGATTTATGATAAAGAGAATTCCAGATCCAGCTACTATGGGCGACCAAGGCGTGTACGCTTGTGTAGCGAACAATCAACATGGAGTGATGGCAAAGAATTTCAAAGCAGAATACACATACTAAAGTCACATTACAATAAATATACTGTGAAAGTCATCCCGAAAGTAATAAAGACTGATAAAAATACTTGTATTGCCAACGACACCTGCACGCAAAAACTGGCCAGGACAGGAGGACAAGGACACATTTTCATCTAGAGTGTTGCAGACAACAACTATGTTAATCGTCAAATCTATGCCTTACGGGTTACAAAGAAGCTTTGTAAGCAGTTGAGAATAGAAAATGTAATTTTTCGGTATGACAGCGGGAATATCACTATAAAGACGGAACGCGTAACTTTGGTGACGGTCATGATGCCGGTGAGTCAGATGCAATGCAAGATAAGACAATGGTTCATAATGAAGTTTAGCCATGGGAGGTTATGCTAGCTAGCTAGTTTGCTGTGTAAAAGATTTGGCCCAAAGAATTGGTGGAACTCTAACAAATCGCCAAAATGGAATCTGGCGAATGTGAGCTAATTTCATGATACAGCAAAATTCAAGAAAATATTACAAGCTTTAAGGGCTGCGAAGTCTGGTCATCAGGTGATTAGGATGATGATAAGATCTGAAGAATTCCAATGAAGCAGCTGATTTATAATGTACTGACTTGTTTTGAAAGTTCTACCCGTTTTTAAAGTACAACTTTGAATTATCATTACCCTATTCAGAGACACCTTAACCTACCATAACTTTTTTCAGAGATACCTCAACAAGGGTTATAAATTGCTTTACAATTTAAAAATTCTGCCAATACTATACACATTTTAAAATTCTTACAGTTACTCGTAGAGGATTTCCTAGCCATAAATCTTCGAACTCCTCACAGAACGCCTACTTTGAGATAACAGACTCAGTCTAGATAATGAAAGAATAGAACAGATATTGTTCATTAGTCAATAGTCTTCTGAGCAGTTATGCCATCGAAATCCACTAATTACATCAGAATTTTTTGCAAAAAAAAATCAAAAGTATTCAATTTCTTTTTGTAAAGTGGCACAATATGTTGTATTCTGATTCGTTTCGCTGCCGATAATCGAGACATTTTTTTGCTGTCTGTCAGTACCAAATCACTTAGGTCCATCCTTATTGTTTAGAGGGGAAGTTGCGTAATCGCAGTGTGCGACTACAACGGCCGCTTATAATTATGCCATAGATTTTCATGTACATTTTGAAAAATTATCTCGACCGGCATTCTGTAGCAATCCCGTTCGATCATTACATATGTTATAAAAAAACTTTGCCTGTTGATTGTACGAAAACTGCTGAAAGAAAGTTCCACATTTGTTTTTGTTGTCTCTTTGAGCGATGGTACCATAGGATAAATGCCTTGAGGAAACGAGAGCACATATAAGAAATCAAAGGAAAAGAGTTTTTGAATGATATAAGCAAAGTTTATGGAAAGTTCTTCCGGCAGAAAAAGCGGTGCAAAGAGGAGAAACGAGTGGGACACTTGAAAGATCAAAGTAGTTAAGAATGGAAAAGTTTAGTTCACCAGCTTGTAAATCAGGGAAAAAATGCTTAGAAAATCAAAAGGTGGATACTTTAATCGCTGCAGCAGCAAACAGGATGGATATACAGATTGTGAGTTGAAATTGTGGACGAATGTTTTGCAAAAACTTTAGTGCAGAAGCCTTCAAATCAGAGCAAGGAGTGCTGCACACTTTTTAGTATGAAAAAGAAAGAATAAGAGACAAATCGGACCGAAGCAGTGTCTTCGATTGGTTGTTTGTGAAGAGGACTATTAGAGCATTACAAGTCTGTTGCTCATTACGCTTGAGATAACGGGAAGTTATCGAGTCGTCTGTTCATCTGGTATTGGTAAAATGTGAAGAGACTTGAATGCCAACACGTACAATGAAATTCTAAGAACTCTGTGTGCAATACCATTGATAGCGCACTTGAACTAATCAATTTCACAAATGGCTTTCTCTAGCTGTGCATAGTCTATAGAAAAGGTGAGGAACAACTGATTGAAGCGAGAAAAGCAGAAATATAAAGTATGAATTGACAATAGACCCGAAGCATCACGCAATGACGTGAAGAATGCGAGTGCGCCATTGCACTTCACATTTGAGCGCGTCATGCTCGGCTAAGTTGAGTTACCCATTTTCTGCGCGATTTGCTTCATTTGCAAGTTTCTTTCTTCGAGATCTAGTCTTTACATTCAATCCATTTATTTGTTTCTCCCCAGTATTTTCATACTGCTAAGGTCGAGGTAAAAAGCTTCTTTCTTGAGAAGTTGCGTTTTTTCAATGTAAGAAGTATTATGTACTTCAATTATTTGGCTGTAAAGTCTTAGACTATACAGTTTCCAATCATGGACCAATGCCGAACATTCCCTGAAATCATTCAGTACTCGTAAAGGCTGTTATGTTTCAATTTTTGCATGTTTTTCACGTTTTGAATTGAAAAGGGGGGATTTGTATGTATGTCCGATGTGGAAATAGTAGAAGTACATTTAGATTAAAACTAGTTGATTCATCCTTGTGTACACCGAAAAACATCGATCTGTGAAGTTCTTTGCATTCTTTTAACCTTGCAATCAAACCACCTATGAAGTTTATACTCGCCGAGATCAAAAAGACTTGGAAAACTTTCATTGGTTTATAAATTAAGCAAGCTAGGTTGCGATGCTTGTCTCAAAAATCAGATGGATTCGATTCTGTGGAACCTCGAACAGTAGTGCGGCGTACAGTTACGAAAGATGAAAAAACTACTCTGAAAGCTGTCGAGACGCAGACTAATTAAAGTCCGACAGTCCCCTCGCCGACTTGGGCGGTGCCACCAACTTCAGATGAGCTGGCACTCCCCGGGTGCTCGGTGGTCCTCTCCCCAATTATGTTCCCCCACATTTATATTTATGTTATAATGATAAATATCTAGTCAGAATTGTTATGTTAGTACAAAGGAAAGAAACTAAGGGTAGAGGGATCAAGTTAAGAGAATAGCTAACTCTTTAAACTTGACATGGAGGTCCCGGGTTTTTTTGAACTTTTTGTCGCATAACTTTTCTTACTAAAAAAAATCTAAGCATAGATTAGGCCAATCTCTGCTGAATACTCCCACCACCGGCACCAGCCCTCATCTCCTACGTGAATTACGTAGCCCTTTTTTATATTTATCCTCTCTTTTATCTTTTCCCTTGAGTCCAGGCGATGGGTCTGAGTGTGTTTTTTCCTTATTTTGTCATATTTTTTTGTGTCATAGTGGGTAATGAATATAATCATGTATTCTTTACCTACTGTGTGTTTGACAGTCTTTTTTTGTTTCATAGCAGATAATGAATATATATATATATATATATATATATATATATATATATATGGTATATGATATTTTTTATCTGCTGTGATTCCTTACAGTTTTTACCGTGATACCACGTGAAGAACCGTAAATATTTACTCTTTCTTCCTCTAGCCCCCTTTCCCCACCCTATTTATTTAGAAACAAATCTAAAACTTTTCATTTTTCCAAAACATATTTTATTTTGTAGCTTCCACATTTTCTCTTTCACAATCTATTATCTTTCCAAAACATGTAAAATTCATTTTCACAACCATTTTTCACCATATTTCGCCTACAACTTTACACCTTATTTTCAGTCATTTATTTTCTTCTTTCTCACTTTCCATCGTTATTTTTTTACACAAACTCAGGGACTCTATCGCCAACGCCGGCACTGTACATATGTATAAAATTTTCATAATTGTGTTTAATTGCCATAGCTGTTCTAATTGCCGCCAGTTCCACAGGCGATCTAGACGCCTGTGGATAGTCCGTAGGCTATGTTGCCTATGGTGATTCCATAGGCTATGTGATAGCCCATGGGGTTACCAGAGGCCCTTTTCCCAGTCACGCCGATTCAAAGCGTCATTATCTAATCTTGAGTGGCATATAAGCGCCAGGAGCTGCCCTAAGCTCGGCGAAATTCGTTTCAAGCAGTAATACAATACTGCCTAGTCTGCGCTTAGGTCAGTTTCGCCTAATTACTTATTTGTAAAGAGATCATGCAGCTCTGGACCAGATGATTCTCGACTACTGAAGCGAGTTGGATATTTACTGATCATCTTTATCCAACTTCGTCATAGAGGTATTCATTTCCTAGTTTTCCGCGTTCTATTTATACTGTATTCATAACAATTTTGTGCAATTTTGTATTTATCAATGTACTACTAACCAAAAACAAAAAAAGGAACCATTCATGTTCATGTTTGCAAAACAGATTTCCAGAAAAGGTTCCAGCCCTATCTCAGACGTTCAGAGCGTCTGAGACAAGCAACGTATTGGTCTCCCTCATAATGAGTGAGAAGTTCCAGTAGCAACCTCACAAATCTCATTCACGCAGCAGCTACTGACACTTGTAAGTTTGCCCGCAAGCCATCGCACTATAAAAAGAAAGACTTCTCTGATTGGCGGCTCGGAGAAGGCTTTCAGTAAATCACTTTTCACTCACGCCCTTGTAATCAACGTTAGGGAAGTGTTCCCTCCTGAGTTGCTTGCAGGTTTAAAAAAAATGTCAATATTCTGTGATACATGTCCATATCATAGCTTACCATGCTCTGTAACGGCAAATGTTCGGAATATACATTCCGTTCCTTCGCCGTCTTCAAACATAATTCATTTTGCTATTTTGCTGTCTATTAATGTATTATTCCATGTGTATTCCATGCTCGTAATTTCACTTTCTACAACACTGCTCATTATTTCTTCGCGGATGTCATCATATTCCCGTATGTCACATTTCGTCACCAGAGCGGCCTTTATCCGCTTCCCTTATACCCTATGTCACATTTTACCACCATGCGGAAATCCCCATCCGCCTCCCCAAAGGATTACGGAAGCCTCATCCGTACCCCGATTTGCTCATCATTTAAATCATCTCATCATTCGTCCATGTTGCTCCCATTCTTCAGCTCGAGACGAGCTCATTCTTCTGACAGGGCGTGCGAAAGCGTGCCTTCTCATCCCTTTCCCCCTGTCCTTGTGAAGAAAAATCCAGCGACTAACGCCTAAAGCAAGTCTGCCCTCAACCAAAGCAGCAAATGGTAAATGGGCAACATCAATTACACGTATGGGCAACGTCAACTGTACATATGGGCAACGTCCAACTCAATGATGACATCGCAACCATGCATATGGGCAACTCCCCAGCGAAGCCACTGATGACAACTCAATAACCATGGCCAACCTCAAAAGCTCGAGGACGAGCTTTGCCATGGAACGGACATGTCGAGACGCAGACTAATTAAAGTCCGACAGTCCCCTCGCCGACTTGGGCGGTGCCACCAACTTCAGATGAGCTGGCACTCCCCGGGTGCTCGGTGGTCCTCTCCCCAATTATGTTCCCCCACATTTATATTTATGTTATAATGATAAATATCTAGTCAGAATTGTTATGTTAGTACAAAGGAAAGAAACTAAGGGTAGAGGGATCAAGTTAAGAGAATAGCTAACTCTTCAAACTTGACAAAGCCATCTCGAACTATCAGATCAAAATTCATTGATCTACAAGACTGAAAAATTCTTGACCCTTGCGCGCAGTTTAGCGATCCACATCAGTTTTGGGTTGAATCCGGATGACCAAGTATATCCGCAAACTTCGAAGCATTGCTTCTATTTGCGAAATACTGTAACATGATATATTGTTGTACTTCATAGTATTTTTTTAGCTCTGCTTTTCATGTGCTAGAAATGAGATCGAAGAACGTGTATGTTTATCTTCATAGAACAGATTACCTGCGATCTGCGAGTGATGGAACTTGAAAGTACGATTTGCTTTGATTGCGCTTGCTACAGTAGCAAAGCCCATATGGAAGGACTTAGACCAGGTCAGTTGAACAGAATCCGCATTCATTTTATATGACTGTAACGTGGCTATCAATCATTGTGTTCTGGAATATCCGTCTTTGATATTTTTATGTTTTTATTTCGTTTCTTTTTCTTGTTGTGGAACGAGATCATTTAGCTTAATCTAGCATCTCAAAACAGTAGGTATCCCGCACTGAATTTTGCAGATATCATCCTCAGACTTACCAGTCTAGCTTTCTTCGAACATACAAAAAGCGTCCAGCATATGAACCGTTCTTATCACAGATGTCAGTGTCAGTTTGATGGTAGAGGTGGCCAGATCAATATTGTTCGAAAAAATTGCCTAGAAAGGTCTTACAGGCTTATTGTTATCAGAAATGCAGCAGCGTGTTCATTTTCCTCAATGTAAAATTAGTACGCTGTGTTTTCTGGCGACTGCATGGCTTAGTCAGTGTAGTTAATCACCCTTTTGATTTAGTTCATTAATGCTCCTTTTTATCTGTTTTCATGGCAACTAGACAGCTGCCGCTTGCTTATGGTTTGTAAAAGGTTGTTTCAGGAATTGTTCAACCTTGTCTTTGATAATTTCAACTCCATCACAGTGAGTAGGTGAAAGTCTTCTTTTTGCGGAAGACTTACATGGCAAATATGGTTTACTAAGCTTCAATCTTACTTCGCTATTGTAATATCAGCATATCTTGATTTTTGATAGACTTCTCGCACCTTATGAAATTTTTTCGAAATTCATACTGACATATATAATCAACTTCTGCTTGCCGGAGTGTGTCAGCACACAAATGAATAATGAATGTGGCAAAGTTGGGTCTTAGCGGTGGATGGCAAGGGAAGGAACGTGGCTTCCTGGAAGTTATGCTTGCATCGGTAATATCAAGAAATTGTCCTTTGTCGTTGTGCGCCATGTTTTTTTTTTTTGCAAAAGAAGCAACAATCGATTAACTGATGATTTCAAGCAATCTTTAGAAGGGACTGAAATTCCACATCTAGCTGTCGTACCCTTGTCCAATAAGCAAAGTGAACCCTGCAAAAATGCTAGTGTTAGGAATTAGACTCCAGGTACAAAGTAACACCAACCCCACCCTCCGGTTCATGCGCGAAATCCTGACAAGGCGCTTCAAATATTTGCCAGCTCTGCCCACTTCCATTTAGTGGGCGTCATTGGTGGACTCGCCTTCTAGGACTTTGCGCATAAAATGGAGGATGGGTTGGGACTACGGTGTACTTGGGGGGAGGGGGGAGGGGGTACTTAATATCACTAAAATGTGACAGGGGTCCGTTCTGGTGATTCACTTAGCATATCGTATGTTCATATGGTAGGTGATCCATAGGGATAGATTTGATATCTCTTCTCCAATATTCTCAAATGATACATGATATATGTGAAAGTTCACATCTACCCTTGGCTGGTTTTCTACTTCCCTTCTCTTCCCGCAAAGGATGGGAGGGCTTGGTTTGAGAGCGCTTACAGTGAACGACTATCATGTTTCCAGATGAAAACCATCAAATGTGTGGTCGTCGGAGATGGTGCCGTAGGAAAAACGTGTCTGCTTATATCTTATACTACTAATCAGTTTCCCTTCGAGTACGTTCCCACGGTGTTTGACAATTATGCGGTGGGTTTCACTTTGCCTTAATGCAACACTTTTCCATCATTATGCTGCTTTCAATTTATGTAACACCTTAAAGGCAGTGTCCCGGCAGATTCGCACCCTGGGTGATATCGCTGCGGTGGGGTTCCTGGCCACCCCACTAACCTCTAGGCCTAGTCCGGCTTGTTGATGTCCCCCCTGCGCCGAGAAAATAGCCCAGAACCGGCGCGCGCAGGCCTAATCGGCGCGCGCTCGAACGACTTCGCTTACCTGCTCGGTGCGGGACCCCATTACCGCTCTCCGCACTGTGCATACTATTCCAAAGTATTACAGGCGGCAGGGTGTTCGTGCCGGGGCCTCCCCAATTTCCGTTGAAACTCTCATCCGAACCGCTTTTTGGAAACTAGGAAAATTTCCCCAAAACGGTCTTTTCACCCGATTGTAATCTCAGATTCGGGTTCTACGAGTCGGAAAGGCCTAAGACTTGCAGAAAGGTGGAGACGCAAAATCTGCCGGGACACTGCCTTAAACTCTTGACAGCCGCACATAAAAACTACAAAAAAAACTGTTTTATCCCTATCTCTTCATTACAAACACGTGAGACTACATTAAGAGAAGCTGATGATACATTGCATTCGTTTTTTGTACTATTGTCTGTATCTTTGCTTTTATGGAAAGCCCACATTGGAAGTAAAAATACAGGTCTTTAGGCTATCGAATGAAATAGGTTTCATCGAAATGAAGTGTATCTTTTACTGTTCTGGGCTCTCAGTACATCGGGGTTGATAGAACTGTTTTTTTCCTACCATAATTATGAAATGATTACTTATATCATTACCCTACTATAAAGGGCTTACCTTCCTTGCAGGTCACTGTTATGATTGGTGGTGAGCCATACACACTGGGACTTTTTGACACTGCGGGTCAAGAAGATTATGATCGTCTTCGACCTCTCTCGTATCCGGAAACTGATATTTTCCTCGTCTGCTTCTCCGTAGTCTCACCAACTTCATTTGAGAATGTCCGCGAAAAGGTTTTTTGTTTATTGTTATTTGATTGACATTGAATATCTTGATCTCTCTTTCGATAATTTTGTTTTCAGTGGATCCCAGAACTTGCTCATTACTGTCCAAAAACCCCATTTCTACTAGTGGGCACACAAGTATGTATTATCCTTTTATTAACTGTGAGAGGGTATTATATAAGCATTTTCATTTTTCAATCATAAGCTTTTTATCCTGTTTGCAAGAACACAATTAAGGTAGATCAGCGAGAAGAGCGTACAGTGGTAGAGAAACTCATCAGGAATAGGCAAAAACCAATCTCGAAGGAAATGGGAGAAAAATTAGCACGAGATATGAAAGCTGTCCAATATGTGGAATGTTCGGCCCTCACTCAGGTAAGGTCTTTTTGGAAGAAATTTTAGCTATTGTCAAGTTTGAAGAGTTAGCTATTCTCTTAACTTGATCCCTCTACCCTTAGTTTCTTTCCTTTGCTCTAACATAACAGTTCTTGACTAGATTCTTTTATCGTTATAACATCGATATAAATATGGGGGAACATAATTGGGGAGGGGACCACCGAGCACCCGGGGAGTGCCAGCTCATCTGAAGTTGGTGGCACCGCCCAAGTCGGCCTGGAGACTGTCGGACCATCTAATTGGTCTGCGTCTCGACATGTCCGTTCCATGGCAAAGCTCGTCCTCGAGCTTTTGAGGTTGGCCATGGTTATTGAGTTGTCATCAGGGCTTCGCTGGGGAGTTGCCCATATGCATGGTTGCGATGTCATCATTGAGTTGGACGTTGCCCATATGTACAGTTGACGTTGCCCATACGTGTAGTTGATGTTGCCCATTTACCATTTGCTGCTTTGGTTGAGGGCAGACTTGCTTCAGGCGTTAGTCGCTGGATTTTGCTTCACAAGGACAGGGGGAAAGGGATGAGAAGGCACGCTTTCGCACGCCCCGTCAGAAGAATGAGCTCGTCTCGAGCTGAGGATAAGTGAAGCAACATGAAGCTTGAACGATGAGCAACTGGGGTACGGATGAAGGGCTTCCGTAGTCATTTGGGGAGGCGGATAGGGATTTCCGCATGGTGGTAAAATGTGGCAGAGGGTATAAGGAGGCGGACAAAGACCGCACTGGTGATGAAATGTGACATACGGGTATATGATGACATCCGTGAAGAATATAATGAGCATTGTTGTAGAAAAGAGGTTACTGGCATGGAATAATATATAAATCGACAGCAAATAACAAAATGGATTATGTTCGAGGACGGCGAAGGAACGGAATGTATATTCCGAACATTTGCCGTTACAGAGCATGGTAAGCTATGATATGGACATGTATCACAGAATATTGACATTTTTTTTAAACCTGCAAGCAACTCAGGAGGGAACACTTCCCTAACGTTGATTACAAGGGCGTGAGTGAAAAGTGATTTACTGAAAGCCTTCTCCGAGCCGCCAATCAGAGAAGTCTTCCTCTTCATAGTGCGGTTGCTTGCGGGCAAACTTACAAGTGTCATCAGCTGCTGCGTAAAGAGAAAAGATGATTAGTATTGCTAATGACACTTTATGTTCTCTAGCGAGAATTATTCCATTTTTTGTCTCAAACGCTCTGAACGTCTGAGATAAAGCTGGAACCTTTTCTGGAAGTCTGTTGTACAAAATTGTTATGAATACAGTATAATAGCAGAACACTGAAAACTAAGAAATGAATACCTCTGTGACGAAGTTGGATAAAGATGATCAGTAAATATCCAACTCGCTTCAGTAGTCGAGAATAATCTGCTCCAGAGCTGCATAACCTTTTTACGAATAAGTAATTAGGTGAACCTGACCTGAGCGCAGACTAGGCAGTATTGTTTTACTGCTTGAAACGGATTCCGCTGAGCTTAGGACAGCTCCTGGCGCCTATATGCCACTCAAAATTAGATAATGACGCTCTCAATCGGCATGACTGGGAAAGGGGCCTCTGGTAATCCCATAGGCTATCACATAGCCTATGAAATCACCATAGGCGACATAGCCTACGGAGTATCCACAGGCGTCTAGATCGCCTGTGGAACTGGCGGCAATTAGAAACGGCTATGGCAATTAAACACAATTATAAAAATTTTATACATATGTACAGTGCCGGCGTTGGCGATAGAGTCCCTGAGTTTGTGTAAAAAATAACGATGGAAAGTGAGAAAGAAGAAAATAAATGAGAAAATAATGCGTAAAGTTGTAGGCGAAATATGGTGAAAAATGGTTGTGAAAATGAATTTTATATGTTTTGGAAAGATAATAGATTGTGAAAGAGAAAATGTGGAAGTTACAAAGTAAAATATGTTTTGAAAAAGAAATGAAAAGTTTTAGATTTGTTTCTAAATAAATACGGTGGGAAAGGGGGCTAGAGGAAGAAAGAGTAAATATTTACGGTTCTTCACGTGGTATCACGGTAAAAACTGTAAGGAATCACAGCGGACAAAAAATATCATATACCATATATATATACATAGCAATATATTCATTATCTGCTATGAAACAAAAAAAAAGACTGTCAAACACACAGTAGGTAAAGAATACATGATTATATTCATTACCCACTATGACACAAAAAATGACAAAATAAGAAAAAACACACTCAGACCCATCGCCTGGACTCAAGGGAAAAGAAAAGGAAGGTTGAATATAAAAAAGGGCTACGTAATTCACGTAGGAGATGAGGGCTGGTGCCGGTGGTGAGAGTATTCAGCAGAGATTGGCCTAATCTATGCTTAGATTTTTTTTTAGTAAGAAAAGTTATGCGACAAAAGTTCAGAAAAACCCGGGACCTCCATGTCAAGTCCAAGAGGTGCACTCTCTTGACTTGAATCCTTCACCCTGATTGTCTTACTTCATATGAACATAACATTTATGACTAGAATCTTTATTATATATTTGCATGTATAAGAGAAGGGGAAGGGTAACCGCCGGTCACCCGGTTAGGCACAGCTCATCTGGAGTTGGTGGCACCGCCCAAGTCGGCCTGGAGACTGTCGGACCATCTAATTGGTCTGCGTCTCGACACTATACATTTCCTCATTCAAAGAGAACTTCGTTAGAATAGGCAACAACGGCCGCCTGATTTCAGTGTGAACATAGATATCCCCAAAATATACTTGTAAATGTCTCAGGGACTGACTACGAAAGCGCAAACTCTTACTCATTTTACCAATGTTTTCTTTTGCAAAAATTCTTCGGAATATTGGACTGTTTTTTGCTTCTGTGTATTATTCATTTTCCAGAAAGGATTGAAAAATGTATTTGACGAAGCAATCATGGCTGTGTTGGAGCCCAAACCAAGAAGTATCAGGGAACGGAGATGCAAAGTGCTGTGATATGGTGGTCAAGCAAGTCTGCCACAACTGCTAAGATCTTTTCAAATTTTGATAATTCGTCCACCCCATATGCATTTTTCCTTTTTTTTTCTTTTTTTTCTTTCTAGAAGGTGCTTTAACTCATGGAGACATCGTACTCGTACCGTGTCGTCGAGTTCAGTAATGTAGTAAGAAGTTCATCGCAGACGATTGATATGTGCGCGGCACCTTTTTATACTCAAACAATACGAAAAACAATATTTTGAGAAGGATCAACAGTTCACCGAAGTTTTCGATCTGTAATGTTTCTATGCTAATTTAGTGGACGCGACGATAGTGTAGTAGGGTCATCCGCTTCATAGTGTGCGTATTTGCAGTTATGTGCCCTCAGAGTTGACAACATTAGCTTTCATTCAGTTTTCTTTCTATCTTAACTACTGAATTATAAGCTTAAACGGTTCAATCAATGTGCGTCGTGTTGTGGTGGCGCATATATCAAAATGGATGACTCCGCTTCAAGTATTTTAATGTCACAACTTCTATACAGTTATTACCTGAGTACTTATTTGAGCGAGTTCTACTATGTGATCAAGTCATTACACGGTTACCCAGTGCTTTTACTTCGCATGGCTTGCATGCTTTGTTTGGGATATGTATGATTACGTGTGAAAGATAAAATCAGTTCGGATGAATATGTCAGCAACCCTTTAGTGACGCACAAGTGAACAAATTTGCAGTAAGATTACAAAGTCGATCTCAGATGCAAATATGATATAAGACCATATCATTCAGTTTTTTCAAAACATCAGGGAATTGGGGCATACTCGAAATAGGCCATTCGGTTCCGCGAGCTTTGGACGTTGTGGTCATACTTCTGGAAGTGTGCTTTAGAGCACAAAGATTGAAAAGTCTCTTTTCCAGCTTTGAGGAAATTGGATTTGGGCATGTGGTCGCTTAGAGCCCGGCCGGGCATACATCACGCGAGTCGCTTCGCGATTCTTCCACCAAGACAACTGTTACAAAATAATTGCAAACTCACCTTGCATTTCAGTTGTGATTTCCGATTCGACTAGTCGCGCATAACCATCACACCCGAAATGCAAGATGATCGGCATGCAATGATGTTGTAACAGTTGTCTTTGGGAAAAACGCGAGGCGATGAAATCGCGTAATGTATGCCTGGCCCTTTAGGCATACGCTATACCTCATCCACTAGATCAATTTTTGCTCAGATCAGTGCGATGGCCAATAGCGAAGCAGGTGAAGTGGATCAAGTATACGTGAGTCATCACACGCAGACAATGGACGCCGCGTCCGACTTTTAAAGTGGAAACATGAAAGAGCCAACAGACGGCAAGAGGAATGAAAGAGCGCTTGATCAGGGAGACCCCAACATCACCTATCCCGAACTTTCTTATGAACTAAATTCGGATTCAGAACAGCAACAATGTAAGAATTTCTGATCGGGTATGCAACTTTACACATCTAGACTATTTAGTAAAAGAGATTATTTAGTAAGAGTGTGAATTTAGTGTGATATCTTCATACCACATTGTTTAGTACAGTTTAAAGGCAGCGGACAGGCAAAATGGACCCCTGTCAGATTTTGGTAGTTTCGGGTAGTGGACTCCCCAAGTACACCGTAGCCCCAACCCCACATTCCAATTCATGCGCTAAGTCCTGAAAAAAGCGCTTCAAAACTCCACCAGCCCCGCCCACTTCCATTGAGTGGGCGTTATTGGTGGAAGTTTGAAGCGCTTTTTTCAGGACTTAGCGCATCAACTGGAAGTTGGGGTTGGGGCTACGGTGTAATTGGGGAGTCCACTACCCGAAACTACCAAAATCTGACAGGGGTCCATTTTGCCTGTCTACTGCCTTTAAAGTTCACATGCAGTTCTGCACTGAGACCGTCAGTTGCGCCCAATAAAATGGAACAATGTTGAAAATGCCATCAAGAAACAGTCGTCAGTCACTTCCCGACCTGAAGTGCATTTCATGTACGTGACCAAGACTAGTGACTTCTCTTCTGTATTCATTAATGGACTTATTACTAAACTGAAGTAAATTTCACAATCGTTCTCTCACAACTTTGAACTGCTTTTTACTGGATAAAAAGTTTCATACATATCGTCTGTTCCCTAGAATTCCCATAAGTAGTTACCATCAATGCGGCTGCCTTTCGATTGTTTCGACATGTCAACTTCGATGATGCGGCTTAAATTTGCTGGGACTTAACTTGTCAAGGAGATCGAAAGGCAGCCACGTTGATGGTACCTATGGGAACATTCCTCAGGGATCAACTGTACATTTTACGACAAGGAAACTCGAAACTGCTTTGCACAGTTTGTCTAAACAAGCTTGATATATTTGGCAAGGTTATCGTGTATACTTAACAAGCTCATACTTGTGACTACTCCATTTGAAATTAGGTACCCGTGACTTGGAAACGGGAGAGAACAGGTTTAACTTTGTTCAAACATTGTGTGCAAAGCGCTTTGAAGTCTTTTAGTCATATAGATGATAGTGTTCTTCACCCTCCACTGTAGTAAAACGTTAAATAATGCGTAATTTATCACAAACACTACGTAATTGAGCAAATTACACAGCGATGTATACTGGTTACGAATTTCCTAGCAGCGATCAACAGCACGAAATGACCACCGCCGTTTTCATCATCGTTCATCGGGGTCCCAGCGTTGTCCGCGCTGTGGCGACGAGTCATCTCGCAGCGCGTTTGCGCTGCGGCTCATGGCCACCGCTGCTTGCGGGTGCATTGCTCTCTGTGCACAGATCGCTTTGTTTTTGATTTTACTGATGACTTATTCGTCTGTCGTGGCATCGATATTGTTTCATGGGCTTTGTTAAGCCATATTTGTGCATTGGGTAAGTTTGTTTGTAACCAACTACGATGGGGTTTTGCTTGTTCTTGTTCGTGTTTGGTGGTACTGAGATTACAGTTAGTCTCATCATATATTCTGAGACTAGTAATCGGATAACGCTTTTACATGTTACATTAGGGTTCAAACCTGTTCTTCCTCTCAAAATGGCAGAACACTCGAAATGAGGTGTGATGCACAAATTTAATTTGCAGGAAACGCTTGCGCATCCGCATAATAAATGGTATTCAGCTTTTACTTTGACTTTTACTCTTTACATTTTTTGTATTACAAATATTCCTCTAACTACCCTGTAATCGGTGGAAGAAGATCAGAAGGTTTGCGAAAACTCCGTATGTTTAACCAATCACCAAACTGCTTCTTCCTTACGCACAATCCAAAAACGTCATATACTCTGCTCTTCTCTATTCCACCACTTTTCAAAGTTTAGCAGAAAACTTCCTATCCCTCAAGTTTTGAATTGATCGAAACCAGATTGACTAGCCTCAACGTCATGGAACAGCTGTGGCCAGTCTGTGCCATGTTCTTTGCGAACAACTATCACGATTGCAAGTCTAATCTTCACAGCTTGATTATATCCTGAACACTGGCTTTAGAATAAAGTTGTTAGCTCTTCTTATTATTCGAAAAAGCGTGGTAAAATATGAGCTCTTTGATCGCACCACTTTTCATTACATCAGCTGTCACCGATAATGAAAGCGTCAACTAGAAAAAATTGTGATAATGGGTGAGTCAAAGTAAATAATTAGTGTTGAGTACAACAATTATTGATGGGTTCTAGTTTTTTTTTTACATTTTTTACACTTGAGCGTGAGCTCTCTATTTCGTTGTGAGATGTGCGCATTAGATCAATTGTTTAGCAACTAAAATCTCTTCGTAGGTGCTTTGTCATTGGTTTTCTTTGCCCGTTTGGCAAGAAATAGCACCTGAAGTTGTATAATTTTGTTATCGCATACCTATGTCGATTTTAATGAAAACAGATAAGATCAAGGAATCTGAATCTATTCAATTTGAATAACTAATCTCGCCTCAGTTTTCCTCCAAGAAACTCATCATAGCAGGTTTGTTGCAGCTTTGGGCTTGTGTCATTGATTATCAATGTAAACATTGCTGAACATCGAGCCTTTTCTGGCGGTGACCGCGCAATAGAAAAAGTTTCATTTATATTTATCGTAATGATTCAAGTCAGCGCTTTCTTTCTTCTTTTTTATATCTTTGAGGTATCATTCTATCCGTTTAAGTCAAGTGTACAAGCGCACTCACTTCATAAAATTTCGTTCATGAGTGTGCAGAGGATTTACGCTGCAGCGCTATATTCTTTTTGTATTGTTCTTTCTGTTCAAATAGGATTCTATTCTGTCGTGTTGAGCTTCTTTCTGTTTGAAAAGGATTCTATTCAGGCTTCGTGTTGAGCAGAGCGAATAAAAGAGACACTGTGTGCATTGTACAACATCAATGTACTTTCGGTATACTGCCGAGCCACTTTGCCTAAATCAATACTGTATGAAAAAGTTGCCTAGAAACGGCTTACAAGGGCTTATTGTCAGCAGAAGTGCAGCAGCGTGTCAGTTTTTCCTTACTGCAAGGTCAGATCGCTCAGCTTCAGAGCGCCTACGCAAAGTCGTAAATTTAGTAATCAATCATCATCTCTTGATTTGATTCATTGACCACAGTCCTTCTGTGACTCCCTTTTTCATCGTATTTGGACAGCCGCCACTATATCTGCAGTTGTACCCGACGAACGTAGAGGAACATCATGCAAACCTGTCAGTTTGAAGATTGCGAAAGTTTATGTTAGTAGTGGTAATTTAGAGAAATATACTTTGACCTCCTGTACATGACAGTTTATTGCACGTTCAGCGCTAAGCTTCAGACCCTTTTTATTATTGAAGTATTATGTCATCATGTTGGAAATTAATGGAATTGCGTTTCTGAAGTCACGAAAGGAATTTTCGCAGTCCCAATTTTCATGTCAAATTTTACATTAATTCAATGTTACATAAATTTCTAAGAATGTCACGAATTGCGTGAATATAACGAAATTTGCATCCCTTTGTTCGAAAATCCTTCTTTATTCCAGCTTTGTAAATGTGCTGGTGAGAGATCGGAACATTTTCTTTTGCTAACATACTCATAAATGTTTTTTTTTTGTGCAAGCTTTTTTTTCGCTGATGTACGTATCCTCTTCATCACGTATTTCACTGTGTTTGCATTAAAATCGTACGATCGTATTTCCAGATGCAGACGATCAAATGTGTGGTCGTCGGAGATGGTGCCGTAGGAAAAACTTGTTTGCTCATTTCTTATACTACTAATAAGTTCCCTTCCGAGTACGTTCCCACGGTGTTCGACAATTATGCGGTGGGTTTTACCAGTCTTTTATATATCTGTTCATACCCCCTTAAGCTGTAATCTGTAAGGTTCTTTTCATATGAGCTCAAATAATATCCGTCATTGCGACTCTTATATAGAAATTTTGTATACAAAAAGTTCTGACCATTACGGAGATGTTGAGGCTTGTATCTCGATAAATAATGCAATTGACATTTCCCATACCGTGTTCTGAACCGTGTTTCAAAATGTTCATCTTATCTATAAAGCTGAATGTGTGTCTGCATGTCTGTCTGTACGTATGTGCGGAATAGAAATTTTTATTTCTGAACCGATTTGGACCAAACTTGGCACTCATATACTTCGGGGCAGGGAGCGTGTCATAGGCTACTTTTCGTTATCGATCGATATCGATTTTATCGATTTTTTGCAAAATTTGAGCTACAGGGCTGGGAGTTGGCACAGGAGGGTAATCGAGCATGCTGATTACAAATATATTAATGACAGGCCCGGGCGGAGCCGGGTTTGCCAACTAGTCATTAATGAAAAATGTTATTTAGTATTTTTCTTAAAAATGATTGTCTTTTATTTTGCAGGTCACTGTCATGATTGGTGGTGAACCATACACTTTGGGACTTTTCGATACTGCGGGTCAAGAAGATTATGATCGTCTGCGACCTCTTTCATATCCGCAAACTGACGTCTTCCTCGTCTGTTTCTCTGTAGTTGCGCCAGCGTCATTCGAGAACGTTCGCGAAAAGGTCATTTTTGAGAATTTGATTGTATGTATTGTTGTCAAATACATCTTTCAGTGGGTCCCAGAAATCGCTCATCATTGTTCAAAAACTCCATTTTTGCTAGTGGGAACGCAGGTGCCTATTCACTTCATTTCTTTTGTCTTTATAGTCTATATTGATTTCCTTTAGTATGAGAATATACTATTCTTATTTTTGTCATTTAAGGTTGATCTACGAGATGACCCTTCGATGTTAGAGAAGCTGGCCAAGAACAAGCAAAAACCAATCTCGCAAGATACTGGGGAAAAATTAGCGAAAGAATTGAAAGCCGTCAAGTATGTGGAATGTTCGGCACTCACTCAGGTAAGAACTATTTTCGAGGAGATTTTAGCTGTGCAACATTTTTTCAAAACTTCGAAATAACGATATACCAGTGAAACTGGACGAAAGATGTTTGCTAATCTTACTAATGGACGTTTCTTGTCACTCTGACAGCTCTGGTGCTGTCTCGTAAGCCAGTCCATTATAATCACAGTCTGTTTATTTAATCGCAGTCCATTTATTTATTGAAGTAAGGTGTCAAGATTTCTTTGTTGAGTTTTTTCTACCGCTGACATCTTGAGAAATTGCTATCAAAAGGACTATGATATGATAAGTTCATATAGCGTGATGATACGCTTTCTTCAGTCCACGGAATAAACTCTTTCCGAGCATGTATTATTTTGCGCTCAGGAACGTTTTCGTGAGCGAAATCAATCTGACTCACCAAATGGAAGTGGTGTTTTCCATGTTCAAGAATTCTTTTCGATGTTGAAGAATGACAAGCTTCAACTGTGTCACCCTTCTTATGAGCGTTCTTCTCATTTGTCATCAGTTGCTTTTCAGAAAGGATTGAAGAATGTCTTTGACGAAGCAATCATGGCTGCCTTGGAGCCTCCACCGATGGAAAAGAAGAAGAAATGCACACTACTGTGAGAGTACAGCGAACCCAAAAGAGCGAAGCAGTTATTATATAATCTGCGTCAATAATGTGCTTGCTTCCGCGTGATTTGTCTTCGCCATTGTCGATCCACACACAACTCATTCACTCATACACTATATACCTTGCGAATAGCTCGAACTGGGCCCTATAACTCCTCTAAATTGCGTGTACACTCTGGCGCGTCTCCGATTGATTAATACGATCAGAATAATCGTCGTTCTAGGCACAAAGTTGCTTAGCTCGGAAATATTATATTGTATGTTCATCTATTCATGTGTTTGACTGCCTTTGATTATAAACGGTTTTCAAAGAGAGCCTGTTTGTCAACGGTTGTCTTGTACGTACGAAAACTCTTTACTGCAAGTTTAACAATTTTGTCAAAGCACTGTTACACTATAAATATTGACTGTATAGTTGTTACAATTCGAATTCATATGCAGATTTGCAGAATTATGACTTAGAACATCTAGATTATGACTAGACTAGAACGCTAACAGGCTATCAAATTAGATTACAATGAGCATGGAATATTTGGCACCGATTTCGTAGGAAAATTCGTGGAATGGGCGATGTATACTGATTAGCATGGGCTGCCAAGAAATTATGAGGATCACATCACGTAAGTAGGAAAGTGGATAAGTCATGCTAAAATAGCTCGCACTGATTTTGGTGTTGAGGCCTGGGTAAAGTGTTTCGAGGTGTATCGGATAGCATTCAACAGAGCATCTGTCTGGAAGAAATTTGGTTAACCGAATGTTAATTGTTTGAAACATTCAGAATTTCTTGATACAGATGTGAATCGAGTCGTGGGTTGAACCTGATCATTATCTTTTTAAAACTTTGAACATTGTAATTTCGGAAATGACGAGATATTATTTTGAGTTTGTCTTTCAAAATGCCTCAGTTTTATGGTTTTCTTCCAATGTTTTTGAGACAACCAAAAAACAAAAAAAAAAAACGCAGACCTGTGGTGGCTGTGTTTGCTCCTTGACAACGTTGACTACTGCACGCAGATTAATGGGTGATTCTCGTACGAAAGCCCCATTTTCGTCTATATGGTCGTAAAGTATCAAACAGCCAACCATTACTCGCACGCAAAATAGACGTGTTGTTTCGGTGACACGCGACTTCACATCAGGTGATTCCACCATATAGCGACATACGCTGAAATAAACGAAAACGTTGTATAAACATCACATTTTTATAGTCGTGGACAATGGGAGCATGCCCGTTTGTCCGGACTGAGTGCGCTCCATTCGGAAGAAATTTGATATTGTTGGCGCAGTGCTGCGTCCAGGTAAATCAAATGGAGAAAAACGAGAGGGAGGGAGGAAAAAACGACGAAATTGCGAGGGCCTTTTGCTTCAGTGAGCAGATAAAGCACGAAAAGAGCAGAAGAAGCGTGTTTGCGTGTCTACATGAAGAAAAAACACCACCACTTGCTCAAGAACGGACGAAGTTTCGATCATAGCCATATTTTAGGGATGGTCTACGCCTGAAATGCGGGACTGCTTGATACATTGACAAATTGAGAGCAAACATTCGGTTGTTTTGCGACACAGCCTCATAAGCTGTCTACAAAGATTCGTGTGCAAGCAGCGATATCAAACAAAAACCCTGCATCTTCTTAAAATATCGAAAAAGAGCTGAGGACAAATGTAAGTGCTACTGTAATCCTCGCTACAATGCAAGCAGTTCGGTAAACAACAAGACATACTCATTTGAGTAGTAGTAGAATGACTAAAGCCTTGAGTAAACCTTCTTTATTCTGAAAATTGATACCTGACTATAGTCGCCAAAGTGTCAGTAGTATTTCCGATAGGAAGCGTAGGATGTGAACGGACAAACTCGAGCGTGGCAGAGCTCAAACTCGATAGCATCGGTGTAGGATTGGCAAGAAACAGAGAGATCGAATTAGCCAGTTCAATATCGCTTCAAATAATTAAGTATTCGGCATAACACAAGGAATGAAACGCGCTTACGATGGGCTAGTTCCAAGCAAACCCAGACCGATCGCTCGGCGATAATGACTAAAATCATTCTGCAGGGCAGGTGTGCACATCTGTAAAATATATTTGACCTGGATCCATCAACGTTAATTCAACTATGTTTAGGAAAAGCGGGTCATTTCTGCTAAAAAAACTAGCCTTGGCAGCGTCAAAATCCAATACAAAGTCGACGAGGCGCGCTAGTTGACGTGCGAGTGACTGTTTTCGATCAAGCTGTTCCTCTGGGGGAAGGGGTCCGGAACAGAGGTCCCATAATAGCTCTGGCACAAGCTGAAAGAACAGAACTTTGAATAAATGTGCAGGAGTGAAAGTGAGGAATGACAGAGAAATATGCGTTTCCACCGAAGTAGGCGTTTTGCTAAATTTTAATGCTTACTTGCAGTTCAAAACCACGCAAGCACGGCAACCTTCAAAATTGACTTACCTTCTCTATTCGAAGAGAAAGTTCGAAGTAACAGCGTATTCGTGCCACAAAATCTTCAACAATGCTCATGGTCACATCTCGTAAAGCTAGATCATGAGGGTTCTGTAGTGATTGCCGTATTTCTTCAGTAGCCCCTGAAATGAACAACAACAAATGGCCCATTTGGTTTATATTGTGGTACATTATGGAAGCACTTATCATGTACCGGTTTGTAACTCAACAAATGTTAATCATTTGAAAATTCAATCAATCCATTTAGATTATTAGAGTGCGAGAAGCGTAATTTGACGGAGTGAATACAATTTGAGCAAATGGTCTTCTATTTCCAGTAACTTGTGAACATGGAAGTTCATCAATAATACGGCAAATGATATCATGCAAGCGAAAAAGTCTAAGCAACATATGCGAATAAAAAAGCGAGGAACTAACCCTTTCCATAACATTTCACATCACTGAGCACCTCGGCGCATTGGTTAATGATCTTCTCTGACAAATCAAACAAATAGCGCTCATCTTCATGGGGAGTTGCATTCTCAAAATCCAAAAACAACTGAAGATAACAGATTATGAAAATGAAAAAAAATTGGATAGAAATTTTCAGTTTACCTCCACATAGTCGATATCAGTCTGGGATCCATCGCAATGTGATCGAAGTATAGAGCGAACTACTTCGCTACACGATCTTCCAGTCATTTCAGAAGAAGGGAAAAAAGTTGGAACAGTTGCGATTAACCTTACTTCATGATAATTAATTGAGGCTCACAACCGCACGAGTAAAATCTGTAAATTGGGTTTTCGAAGATGTGAGACGTGAGTACTCTTGAACAGAGGTTGCAAGCGAGAAAGGAAAATTTGTAAAATCAATTTTCAGAAGAAGATCTAAATGGCAACACATGAGCGGTTAACTACCACAAGAGACATGAGGCAGCGCTCCTCCTCGTTCTGCATCTCCAAAAATAACGTGCTCTCTAATTCTGTCTGCGTGGCTGTTTTTGACAGCTGCAGACATGGAGAGGGAGTTGGCTGAGTTGTCCAGTTTTTGTGCAACTGTTAAGCTTGCAAGCCAGAAAGCACAATCAGCACTGGTGCAAAAAGCAGCTTAGCATCAAAAACAAAGCAGTTGCCACACGACAATTGTCACCAAAAGCTTTAAGTTTCCAAAATGCACGACGTTTTCATCGAAAACTATGCTGGAAAACCTATACGAAAAGTGTCTGGCGACTCACTAAGCATCAGCACCTCGTCATCTAAGGAAAACGAGAAAGTGCGGGATCCATTTACTGCCTACTGCAGCTCAATAAAAACTCTGCTCATCAATATTTTCCTTCCCCAAGGCAAGTTTACATAGAAACCGTTTTTATAGGTGTGAAAAGTATCGTTTTCAGGCTATCCATATTCGGTGAGCGATGATTATATTGCATATCAAGTATGGGATACAGTGCAAGCGTTTGCAAGTTCTATGAGTTCTGCATTAGCAACGGAAGCAGTGCTGAAAGGAGCTGGCGTTGGTGACAAGGTAAACTGGATACCTTACGTTGGGTTGACTTGTTTCCTCATTGTTTGCGTAACTTTAGAATGTGACAGCCTTATAATTGCCTTCTCGTGCGGTTTTTGTCTTTGAGAAAAAGCGGATGGAGGACTATATGTCGCCGAAAAAGGGCGGTCCTCGCGGTCACTTGCGACGAATACGCACCCTTGTACATGCGCGGACATGCGTTCCTGCAGGAAATCCGCGCGGGACTCTTCCAAATCCGGCGACATATAGTCCTCCACCCAAAAAGCGGATGGAGGACTATATGTCGCCGAAAAAGGGCGGTCCTCGCGGTCACTTGCGACGAATACGCACCCTTGTACATGCGCGGACATGCGTTCCTGCAGGAAATCCGCGCGGGACTCTTCCAAATCCGGCGACATATAGTCCTCCATTCAGAAAAAGCGATTCTCGCTGCTTATCAAGTTCCGCACTTTTTTTTCATAAGGCGCATGTAGACCATACTCTAGGGGTGTCTTAGAGGATCTAAATGTATGAGACCCCAGCATCAAGATTGCATACCCTCGATATCATCCCATGTGTCTTCCCTCAACATGACGTGGATTACGTGGCTTGATGAGGCGCCGCCTCGCCTCGGGCTCGCGCCACGTTGCGAGCGCATCATTTGGCGCGACGTGGCGCTCAACACAACGTGGCGCAGGCTTTTCCACGTTCTTCTTGTTGCCACATCACGCCGAAAATGCGCACGCAACGTGGTGCAAGCCCGAGGCGAGGCGGCGCCTCATCAAGCCACGTAATCCACGTCATGTTGAGGGAAGACATATGGGATGATATCGAGGGTATGTATGATGGGAAGCACTTTTCTGCTTCAGTTTCACGCTTGAGATTTGAATCAGAAACGTCAGCACAGGGATGACAGTCTGAAAAACTTTATTGTTGTCATGATGAATACAAAGTAAATATATGTGTGACTGCGACCAGATAGCGCCGCTACTGCAACTCAAAAACCTTGGCATATGGACTCTAGCCTCTCCTGCTTACCATCTGAACGTGGTGTGCGGTGCTAAACTGCTATAGACGTTTTCCGTGCGTATAGCGGGCGTTGTCCTGCAGATATTTGAACACATTGAAAAACTTGTTGAGCCTCCACTTCAAAGCATTGGTTTTTGTAATCTCTAGCTATCGGAAACTGCCACGCGCATATCTACGTTGGCAAACGTCGGCAAAGCTCCGCCCGCTATACTGTGGGGAATAGACGATATGCCCACAAGACCCAATTGTGGCAGTTTTTGAAACACAAACTCGGACAAATTGTTCGTCTCCTAGTTTCTGCGCGGGCCAGTCGCTCCGTTCTCGGATACGTCTTCGAAGCGCAAGCCAAAGAAGACTTTTTCCACATAAAAGAAATTGGCTTATCGGGAGGTAACGTCGAGTTGTTGACCGCTGGACTGGCAGTAGATTGCGGAGCACGCGTCGCCCTACTAAACGCTTGCACCAGTACAAATCGCTAGTGCTATACAAGTTTCAGCCGCGCCGCGCGTGCTCCGCATTCTACGGCCAGTCCGTGCGGTAGACGATATGCTCGGAAATATATAAGTGAGAATACTTATTGGGAGCTGGTACCTGCTAATTCTCTGCTAAAAAGATGCACTCATGGCTCACTGATTAATCGGTGTAGGAGCGCGGAGGACGTGAAGGTGTGAGGAGTCCTTTTTGGAGCGATCCTGAGGGTCATAGCAGTTCGCGATCAGGCCCCGGCATGAGTGCCTAGGTTTCTTGGAAACGAAACCTCGACTAAGAAAACGTCGCAATTTTTGGCCACAAAGACGATATCCCCTTTGCTTTTTCGCCCCAAAAACGAAATCCAGCCTGCTTCCATATGATCTGCGCCGAGCCCTGTTCACGATCGAATGGTACTTCAAAGAATAAGGGAAAGAGAGGGGGGGGGGGGAAATAAGGACGCACAGCGTTCTGCGTGGACAATCTCCTTTTGTCCCAGACGCAAGCTTGAAGCTGTGGAGTTTGAGGATTCCCGCCTCCGATAGGATGTCGCCTGTTCAGGGGTCCTTAAACAAATCATGTGGAGACCCGCACTACCCCAGTTTTTGTTAGACAATGCCTTTAAGAAGGAATTCACAAAGAAGACGAAGCGAAGGGCTATGAACGGCTTGCAACGGCGTGCTGGAGGCCTGCTCAGCCTTGAGCAAGGAAATTCATCTAGGCTGGAACAAAGCCCTGAGGCGCGATTCAAGTATTTAAAGGCAGTGTCCGGGCAAAAACTCGATTTTGAGATTTTGTGCTTATACGGGCCTATTCGCCATGCTGAATCCGAAAATCCACATTGGAATGCGCGAAAACGGCGAAAAAGGGCTCTAATACAGGAGGGAAATCAGCAGGTGGGCGGGGCTTTCCCCAGTGCAATTTCAAGCTCCCAGCTTCCGGAGCGATTTTCTCGACTCCGCTAGCCGTCCTAACATTACCGGTCAAGTGCGAATGATTGACTTGAAACCTGAAGCGAGAAGGTCGCTCCGGAAGCCAGGAACGTGAATTCGCAGTGGGGAGGACCCCGCCCACCTGCTCATTTCCCTCCTGTGTTGGAGCCGTTTTTCGCCATTTTCGCGCTCTACAATGTGCATTTTCGGATTCAGCGTAGCGAATAGGCCCAAGTAAGCACAAAATCTCTAAATCGAGTTAGCGCTACGCTGAATCCGAAAATGCACATTGAAGAGCGCAAAAACGACGAAAAAGGGCCCTAACACTGGAGGGAAATCAGCAAGCGGGCGGGGTCTTCCCCACTGTGAATTTACGCTTCCAGCTTTCAGAGCAATTTTCTCGAATCCGTTAGCTGCCCTGGCATCACTACCGATCAGGTGCAAACGAATGACTTGAAACCAAAATCAAAAAGATGGCCCCGAAGCTGAGAGCGTGAATTCACCGTGAGGAAGACCCCGCCCACTTGCTGATTTCCCTCCAGTATTAGGGCCCTTTTTCCTCGTTTTCGCGCTCTCCAATGTGGATTTTCGGATTCAGCATAGCGAATAGGCCCGGGTAAGCACAAAATCTCAAAATCGAGTTTTTGCCCGGACACTGCCTTTAATTACTTTGGAGGAATGGTAGTCAACGCCAACTCTAGAACAGCTTTGCAGGAGGTTTACAAAAGTTACGGCAAGCGGTAAAAGAGCCAGGAAATGATCTTCAAGAGTACTATATAGAAGCAAAGTCTTCGAAAGGGAACTTAAATGATATCTATCAATCTGCCATATTAATAAAACAAAGCTGAATCAGCTGAAGCTGGGCGTGAAGTTTGCGCCGATTTCTGACGCCGTCATCATCAACGTCTCAAAAGAACACATGAAATTCATACATACTGAGTGACTAGAGAGAAAGGAATGAGGTGTCTGTGCTGTGCCCCACATAGACTTAAAAAAAAACACCAGTAGATGCCCAAAGGACCAAATGTGAGTGGGATCGTCTACTCAATTGAAATATTCGACTAATTATAAAACAGAGAGACCCTATTTCGCTTATTTCTTAATCAAACTCTGTTTCAGTCAGCATCTGCTTTGGCCGCTTCGCTCACCTGGCTTGCAAAGGACGGTTTGGGAATGATTGGTCGCATCACGTTCGGCTACTTCAAAGGCAAGTTTCAGCCAATGTAACTTCAAGGTTTTAGTTCACATGCATAACGCTTCTTTACCACTTTTCCCGTTTCTCAAAAGAATTTCTTAGGAACTGAACTGGACTACGACTGTAAAAAATGGCGTCTTGTGGCAGACATTCTGAACGATCTTGCGTTCTTTGTGGATCTTCTTTCACCAGCCTTCTCTGGATGGTTCTTCGTATGTGCCTGTACCGCTTCGTTACTTCGGTGCGTAGTCGGTGTTGCAGGTTGGGGTACTAGAGGCGCCATCATTCAGCATCAGGTAGACAATTAAGCTCCACTCAGTTGAGTCCTAATGCGGTTCTAGGCTCGTCGAAACAATCTCGCTGATGTAGCGTCTAAAGATGGAAGTCAGGAGACCATGGTGAACGTCTCAGCACTCGTCGCATCGCTTATCATGCTACCTCTAGTCAGCGGGAAGAGGACACTCATCTGGTTTTTATTCATGGTTAGCCAACTGTTTTTGCATTTCAATAAAAATAAGGCATTAACCTAGCTACAAAAGTTTTTTTGTTCCTGAACGTATATTTATGCTATTTTCGGTGCCACTGGAAAAAAATGTGGAAAAGGCTTAAAATTATGCACTAAACTTCTCAAGCAAACAGAAGATTGTGGATTGCTCAAAACTAGTGCTAAAACAACGCAAAAGCTTTATTTAGGTCTTCACTGCCATACACCTCTTCGCAAACTATTGTGCTGTCCGTTCATTGAAATTGGAAACACTAAATCCCAAAAGAGCAACGATTCTCATCAGGTTCTCATCTGTACCTCTTCCTTCCCTCCTTCACGAAGTCGTTTAGGTCTTGGCTATCTTCCCACACTATTCTGTCGGTCGAGGAGTGCAACAGAGAAGAGCCCCTATTTTACGGGTTTGGAATACGATATCTCGGATGCTCATTATACAGACTTTTGGCGTACCACAAAAGGTGACATCGGCCCCAACTACAGGTGTCTTCTCAACTGTTCGCTTTCAGAGTTCCATCTGCACAGCTTCGCGCCCGTGATGACTATACACTTCTTTATGATAAACAGAGAAATATTGGTTGGATCGCACTGGCTGAAAATTCGTCTAATCATTCGTCATTGAAAGCCATTTTTGATATGGAAGCCCTTGCTTTCACAGGAGAAGAGGTGAAATCCAAGGATTTCGAGGCGTTTACTGAAGCACTGAAATCCAAAGGATGGAAAGTAGAGGGCAATAATCTTGGTTTCGACGAATGGACGTATATTAGGAAGTAATCACGAGTTTAACTATAACTTGGAGTTCGATACCTCTCAGTCAGTGCCTGTGTAAATATTGTATAGATCACCGTCGAAAAGTTGCTAGTTACAAATAAAGGTATTATAGCTATCTTATGTTAGATATTCATTGATGATATCGTACCACACAGAGCTGATCCCTTCCCTTGAGTACAAAGAAAGTTATAACTTTCGTATCAGTTGTTTGCCTTAAGTAATTAATACAAATGGTGAACGATTGATTAATAAAAAGGAGACAAAAATAAGAACAATTTATCAAATAACAACAAACAACTTTACTCGCTCTCCTCAGTGCGAATACGAGCATGACCATTGGTCAACTTGATGTTCAACTGAGCAGCACGCTCTACGATAGCTTTCCGGGATTGTGCGGAGACGGTATGGGCTACCTCACCAATGTATCGGAATGACTGCATTAGAAGCATATCGAGATCCTGTAAAGTTCATAGATCTGTACATCAAGTGGCCAAGGAACCTTTGCATGGTCTACATTGTTTGGCCTATAAATGCGAGGACAAGTATTTTCAGAAGACTTTCATGCCCTATGGTCAGAGAATTCAAAAGCTTAGAACCATAAAACATATGTAAATTACGAGGAAGTCTCCTCAATAAATTTTTAACTCCTGGCGGGAAAGATTTACGAAATTCCACAGTTTTGTGATGATTAGCCTCATCACAGAAGAGTGCATTTTTTGACGACTTGGAAAATAAATAAAGAAGCTTGCAGATTTCTTTTCTGAAAAACCAGTTCACCTGCAAATGTCCAAAAGAATTAAATACAGAAAAATTTTTTTAAAAAGATTTGTGGCTTACTGGTTGACAATGCCATCGTCAGTGCCAATGTTTTTTTTTTCTAAGACAAATGTATGCAAACTTATGTTTGCAGGAACAACATCTAAAGATATAATGTTGTTGCAGTATTTCCGCCTTCGTGCATGTGGTCGCACCTTTGACGCCATCTTCCATATCATTGAACCTTTGTGCTTACCAGCTTCAAAAAGGTGCGCTGCGGAAGTACCTACGGGAAGAACTCCGAGCAGTCTACTTGTACGTGTCTTCGCAATTAAGAGGGTACATGCAGTCCACCAAATTTTCCGGCTCAGTTAATGTGCTTGCGGTGCCGAGACGAGTAACATTCGTGCGTGAGCGAATAGTTACGCCCTGTATTGCCGGCTACTTGCACGTGAAGCTGTCGGCACTTCAAGCGTAGCCATTTGTTCACGCTCAAAATTCAACGCAGGTCTTGGCCTCCCAGGCATATAAACGGCGAAAAATCCATTGTGTAAATAGTGCTCATTGCATTGAGTAGCTTATGGTGTTGCAGAAAAGGCTCGGATAAGCATGTGAAGCACTCATCAACGAAAAAAATAAACTCAAATATGAATAAGGTCTTGACTATGAAGCCTGGTAGTATGCAGACTGATAGCAAAACGAAAAGCTGATGAACTAAAGACTGAACGCGAACCTTGACATTTCTGACCAAGACCTTCTTGTAGCCACATGGAAGTACGAATTTGGTTCTTTTGTCTGATCCGAAACCGATAGTGGGCATGGCGCGCATACCACGGAATCGTCGACGAACACGGTTATCAATACCCTTTGGCTTACGCCAGTTAGGCTTCAGGCGGTGGTATCTTTATAAGTTAGCATAATCACGAAGTTAAAGAGAACACCGAAAATCTCACCTTTCTGACTCATGCCTCTTGAACTTGGTGACTTTCTTTTTGACGATCTTAACCTTAGTGCCGGAAACGAACACCATTCTTACCCTGAGATGGCTCGATTAATGTAATCTGGGCTGGTGAAGAACGAACGAAGCACCAACACGAGCACTCAATGATAGTCACGATGATCCACAGCTGGCAAAGGTCTGTGCTATGTGATGAAAAGGGTGATTGCAAAAAACCTAACCTTCATATGCTCAAATACATTTCACAAGTAAAAGAGAGAATCTGAAGAAAAAAACAGCAATAATTAAACTGTAATGTAATGGACCAAAGAACCCCCCCCCCTACACGAGCCAATGGCCATTTCCATTACAGGCTTCCCAGTTATTAGACTCGAATCGAGATCGATACATGTAGCACTATTGAAGAACGACACTTCACTGAAAAAAAAATCTTTAGGCCCACGAAATATGAAATGGAATTGAATTGACGGCTTGCGCCGCCGTTAACTGAGTATTCTACGCTGCGCTGTGTAAGAAGTCGATTGGAGCGCGTTAATCGCCAGAAGTATTATGAGTGTTTGGGTGACGCATAGTTACTAGCTTCTGTTAATAGATGATTTTGTTTCGTATCAGTGCCTTTGGAGTTTCGTCTTTTTTTCTGTTGCTTTCAGCAAATTAAGAACCCGTGAGCGCGGAGTTTGTCTCATCTCTGTCAGTCGTTGAGGAACCTGTGTGATTCTTTTGTAGAGGAAATGATGTCAGAAACAGGATAGGAGAAGTGGCTCATTTAGGCAGAAAACAAATGATGAGAACTTCATCATCGGAACTCTTCATCTAAACGAAGATGTCATCATATTTTGGAATGTAGCGTTGCGGCTCTAATTCTTCATTATCAGTTAGAACCTTGTGGTTGCACACTTTTTTGCAGTAATCCATAATATCAAGTATTTTTGTGCTTTTCTGCCTTTTTTACACATCGTTGTGCTGAAAGCAAAGTGTTGTGAAATTCATGTCTCCTCGGCTATTCAATGAGCTACTATGTTTTTTTTTTCTTGTGCGTGCGACTCTCTCATTCTCAGGGAATGCAGAAGTCAATGACTCATGGATAATTTGTTTAACAATCAAATATTGGAAAAACATCTACGAGATGCTTGCGGGAACCGGTTTTCAATCTTCTGGGATGTCAAACTACCACCTTACTTTTTATTAGCTAGACACGGATATTACTCAAGTCTTGTACTAACGATCACCGGCTGTGTTTATTCATTTTTTTCTACCACTCTTGGTAAGGTTGTCATAGAATGGTTACACATGTCTCTCCTGTGCTTGACCATAATTGCATCTTGGCCTTTTCTGAGAAGATGTCATTTTCTTGCCAAAGTGCCCACTTCTAAATTGATCCAGTTTCGTCTAGAAGCGGCGCAGCTTTCTGCGCCTGACGAACGACGTCGTTCGCCTCGTCAGCGGCGTTCATACTGGTTTCGACACATCGTGTGTCCTCGACGTCACATGCAACGTCGACTTAACCGCGTATCGAAAATCGTCAACTTGAACTCTTCTCGTCAATTCTAGATCACTTGTATGATGTATAAACGAGTTATTCGCACACTCACATCAAATATTTTGTTCAGAAATTACTCTTCTCGTCATTTCTAGATCATTTATATGATGTATAAATGAGTTATTCGCATACTCACATCAAATATTATGTTCAAAAATTATGAAATTGATTTTTGAACGGAGATTCGCACAATTTCCGTTTTTGTTGCATTTAGTCATCATTGTATCATCGATGCATGGTTATCACGGAGAAAAATCGATGCATGACTTTTCTGCTCTTCCTTTTAAATGCCAAATATATGTCAACAGCCTCGCCATCTATCTATCTGAATTGCAAAGCGAAAATCAAATATGAGCAAACGCTCTTTGTTCACTGTTTGTCGGATTTTCCTGTACTATACAAGGAAATTTGTAAAGTTTCAAAAGAATTATTTCGTATAATCTCGGATGTCACAATTATTCAACTTTCCCAGCTTGGATGGCGAATCTTGAGCTGAAGCTGCATTTTACAAAAGGAGGGCTAGGGCGAGCCTATTCTGATAACTTTTGATTTTAGGTTCTGGGCCTTTAGGCCAACCATTCCTGATATATGCATACATTCCGTAAATTGCGATTTCATCGAGTTTCTGAGTGACTAGGACTAGTCTAGTTCTTGTGTCATGCCTTGGAACATCCATCATAAGTGAAAAATATATTCAAACTAGTTGCTGGGAGAGCATTTTTATCCTTTTGACCTTTCCAGTTCCTTTATTCATCGAACTCACGAACACCATGCTAGTTCACCAATACTTCGATGATCATACAGCATTCAGTTGGCTCAACCAAGCCAGTCATATAGATTTCTATTCGGACTGATTGTTCATTTCGAAGAAGTAGTGTCTTTGGCTTTTCTCAATCAGATTACTGTCGTTGTCGCTTACAAAAATCTCTATGTCACCGTTTTTTTTTTCGGCCATAATTTTCTGCTTTCCCTTTTGGCCAGCAACAAAGATTTAGATAGATGACGAACGAAAAATCTGCAGGGATTCACAATTCTCCCCCCGCAACTTCTGAAGTGCCATCGGCTCCTCCCGTCGTTAATGCTGAAATGCAACAAAGAGCAAGGTGTGTATACGAATCTTTTTTGATTTCAATTGTTTCGTCTTTGTTCATCTTGAAAATGATAAACGTTATTAAAAAATGTTATGTTCACCAGTTCTTCCCGTATGATAAGAAATGTTTAATTGTTTCTGACGCATCCTTTTGCTTGTTTAGCTGAGCCATAGATTTTGAATGTGGATCGACAGACGCAGTTTAGGGCAGCGCATTCTGATCATAATCTTACACTCTAAAATTTTGGTTGTCGATTGTGATGTTATTTCCACCAGGTATAAGCAACAGCGAAACTTAGCCGCAAATGGATACTCAATATTTCTTTCGCTAGGTGCAACTGGTTTTCAAGTTGACGCGTGAAACTAGGCTCATTAGTTAATGCTTCATTGCTTCTATCTTGAATTCACGCTCGAATTTAATATCGAAGAAAAGGGTCCAGGAACGCTTAAGTTGCACATGGGTAACTAGCCCGTAACTCGGCTTTATTTTTTTTATGGAGTGATTCAAATTTCAAAAATGATTCAGTTCAGGGGTTTGCTTTTAAATTCCTTCCATCTGATAATTTGATCCATTCGAAATTAGATAAGTGTAAGTGGTAAGGTTTTTTGCAGCGATGGCCCTGCCTCAACTACTACACCCTCAGCGAATGCTGTAAATCAGACGCAGGATCATGTTGGGGCACCGGTATGTTAGAAAAGTGTTTCCGTTGTTGTATTACTACCATAATGTTGCAGAATCCCTCGCCATATAGCGAGCCACCTCCATCATATCAGATGGCAACGAATTATCCCACCACTCCGTACCCAAATGCAGGCATGCCGTCCATGCCGGGAGCCGTCCCCCCTAGTTACCTACCCAAACCACCTTCAGCATATCCCCCTGCTCCCAATCAACCTCCCATGTATTACCCCACTCAAGGTATTGGTAAGTTTTGAACTTCTGAATTAGTTAGATGATGTTCTTCTAAATCAGTCAGATAGTACATGAAAGACAGTTTTTGAGTTTTTTGATGATCTCCAGCCTTTGATTGCTTTTACGTGTAGCCGCATTGTTTTTAGGAGTAGCTCAGTATCCACAAGGGGAGAGGATACCAGTGACAACAGCTCAAGTTGTGGTTTCGGTTGGCAATGGCTTTACTTGTCCACACTGTGTGAGTTTGAATTGGATGAGAATTTGTTCTTCATTTCCCTTTAAGAAAGCTAGCTTTGTGGATATATTCTATCGCAAAGTTACAGACATTATAATTCTTCAAGAAGTAAAAGCCCTTTTCTTCTTCAGAATGTTGGAATCGTCACCAAGGAAACGGACATGTGCTGTATGTTATGTCTGATTTTGCTGACTATCTTCACATTCCCATTCGGTTTGGTCTTCCTCTGCTGTCTTCCATGTACTGTAAGCCGTCGTTGCTCAAACTGTCGACGAACTGTATAACTATCTGTTTAAGTGCACTCTTGCCTAACTTTTTTCTTCACTTGAAATAATTTTTTACTGCTCATCAAATTCTACATATGTATGCTTTCTTTCCACACCCCACGCTCCTTTGTGATGTTATCCTGCGGCCGTGATGTAAAGTTATAGGTATCACACATGGTTGTGATATTCAAGAATTGCACGAACGCAAGCACCCACCTCGAGTAGAATCAAACACTATTTTCTGCTGTAATTGTCAATGGGTATTCTCTAGATTCTAAGCATCGCCTTAATTTCGTGATAGCTGCGCCTTATGGACGTTGTATTCAGCAGACTTAACAAATGATTTCATTTTCATGTAGATAAATATTGTAGAAAAGTTTTTTTATATTCGAGCTGCAGATGCAGGCAATAAAATTGCACATAATGTCGAATCAGCTCCTTTACAAATAAATGGACTTTGTGAACTATGACAGACAGAAACACGCCACATATGGTCCACCGTACCGTATGTTTCTGGCAATTACCAAGTCTTTTGAAAGCTAAAACTGTTATTGTCGGCTGACATCATTCGTATACACTAGGTACTGATATAACTCAAAACAATATATGTTACAAGGTCATAAGGAGAAGGAAGGAGAACACTTTTGTTTTTGCCAAAGCAATGTTGAGCTGTCCCAATGATAATTGTGTACTACAAGCCTTAAAAGTTCAGCCTTGTTTTATCCGTTGTTTTTGTTTGTGACGTCACGGTGACGTCACAGACAGGCGAATGGGACCCCTCTCCGGGACGCGCAAATCTCTGCTCCGGAGATGAGCCAGTTTTGGGAGAGCCCCGGAGCAGCAAAATGCGTGAAATGGTAGGGCTCCGGAGCGCTCCAGAGCGCGAAGTGGCAGACTCGCGCCATTTGCCCGCAGGAAATATCCTTCAACTGTCTGGATGGCTTGTGTTGTGGCTTGTGTTGCTTACTTAATCAAGTCGATGCATTTTGCCGACTTCGCCTGCAAATTTCCGACATCTCCTGCACACTGCCTGAAACACTCTCAAGATTTCATACCCTAAAATCTCACAGATAAGTCCTTCCATCAGATAAGTCCGCCTTCAGATAAGTCCGCTTTCTTTCCATTATAACTACCCTAAAATCTCACAGATAAGTCCAGACTTATCTGTAGGCGGACTTATCTGATGGGAGGACTTATCTGCAAGACTTGGCGGCGCGAGGGCGATTTCTCATCGATTTTTTGTGTCAAAAAAGCGGACTTATCTGTAAGACTTTAGGGTAATTTGTATTTCGTCTGGTTTATTCTAACTTGTACCTGTGGTATTTGGTTGATATTTTCAATGAACTACTGAAGCGTAGGTATTGAGTCGCAGCCAGCAAGACAGCCACGAGTAGTTATGCATCGGCTATGAAGGAAACAGGCACGATTTACTTGTTGAAAGCATTGCATGCAGCCTGGCTTTGTTTAGACAAACTAAAGGAATTTCCGCAAGTAAAGGAATTGTTAACCGCGTTTCTCGCCTGCCCACTCTCAAACGGTGTTCTGAATAGTTGCGCTTCTTCGTCGTAGCGGAAATTTGGAAAATTCTATTCTTCCCTATTCTTCGTTATCCAACACGCCATACCTTTGTGTTGTAATGAAGCCTTTGGTGCAATCGCATGGGCGCTCTTGACTCGTTTCTTTAATAATTCAAATGAGGCGAGATCGCGCTATGGGGAGGATGGTTCCATGCGAAGTCGTACAGATGAAAATAGATTGTACGAAGAGGAGATCCTTACAAGGTGACGTTTACACCTATGATAGCGCAGTGACAAAAGAGGGCAAGCTGTTTGAGTGAGACCCCGAAGAGATTGCAATAGAAGAGGAAAGGCAAGAGATGCGAGAATCGCGACGCCACGAACTTGCAGAAGGCGGATGGCAACATCAGCGAGAAGAGCGGAAGAATTGAAGCAAGTGACGCAAGCAGAACGCAACTCCGGGCAACTGCTTCAGGTGCTCGTGAGCTGAAGAATGTGCGATTTGCAACGTTTAAGGGTTGTTTCAGAGTGCCGCAGTGACCGCGCCAGACTGCAGCTGACCGCACTGACCGCAGCAGACTGCAACTGACGCAATGACCGCGGAGCCGCACAGATCGCTGCATCCTTTCGTGAAGGTGGAGAGGATAAATAGTTGTAGCCCAAACAGTCTCTCAACAATATATGCCCCAATGGACAACACTAGCGCGACTAAAATAGGTATGTGCAATGACAAAAGAAATCAGAACAAATATGACCATAATAGGGAGAAACAATCGCCAAAATTTAACTGAGAAGAGTAGTTAGAACCTATAACCTTTCTAGGCGTAAATCGCGGTGTTTTGATGTATTCGCAACTGTTTTCTCTTTTCCGAAAGGATGCAGCGATTGTTCGGCAATTGTGGTCAGTGCGGTCTGCTGCAGTCAGTGCGGCAGTATGAAACAAGGGTGGAGGACATTAGGTCGCCGGAAGAGGGCGGTCCCCGCGGTCATTTGCGACAAATACGCACCCTTGTTCATACGCGGACATGCGTTCCTGCAGGGAATCCGCGCGGGACTCTTCCAAATTCGGCGACCTAATGTCCTCCACCCATGAAACAACCCTAAGATGATTTACGCGTGAATTTATTTTACGCAGAACGAAAGAACCAGTTCCGCAAACTAGAATACCACAGCTCGGACTCGTGTCAGATAGTCTCAACTGCTGCAATGCGCCGGGACTTAGAGGCAGCAGGCAAATCTGGGCCTATGGGGCTCTCACCTGGAAAGTAATCTTGAGGCCCTAAATAGACTCTGCCCAAGCGGTAGCTCAGATAGTGCACGCATGGCTAAGATATTGAGCTCCAAACTATGCCCATTGATCGTATTCGCATGGATTCGTGGCGCTTTCGCGCGGATCCACGCGAAACTAATGTGCCGAGCCACGAATCCATGCGAATACGGTCACGGGGCATAGTTTGGAGCCTAATATCTTAGCCATGAGTGCACTATCTGAGCTGCCGCATGGGCAGAGTCTTATCTAGAGCCTCAAGATTATACTTTCCGTGAGAGCCCCATAGGTCCAGATTTCCCTGGACGCTGCCTTGATGTGTTCAAGTTCCTTCATACTACGCCGCAGGACGCAGAATGCGCGGCGTGCGCTGTAGGAATCGCTCTGAAGATAAACGTTCACTGCAACGCCTTTTCGCTGGTTATGTATGTATGAACGTGAACGTGCAGGAGATATAGATACATAAAGGCTGCATGACGAAGGCGCAATGGCGATATTAGTTGAGCGTGCGCGAACGCGACGCGCGCATATCCTCACCGTTGTAGATCCCGCACCTCATGCGCTCTGCCGCTAATAAAGCCGCAGTTCGCGCCCGAAGATATTGCGCCTTCGTCGTGCAGCAGCCTATACATAACCAGCGGAAAGGCGTCGCAGTGAACATATATTTTCAGAGCGATTCCTGCGGCGCACGCCGCGCACGTCGCGTCGGCGTAGTCCTCATACGAAGGAACCCTTCGGGCACTGGCTGAGCAGAAAGCATCTATTGTAGCCAGTGCTACCGCGCTATATACTGTAAGATTTTGTAGTAATGTTTTGTACACGTTCTACCCTTCGAAAACACTGTTTGTCTTGTCTGCCATCATGGAACAAAGAAGCTGCCGATTAGAAACCTTCCGCACGTATGAGGACTACCTAACTTAGCTCGGCCTTTTGGCCAGAGACATACAGGGCTCCTAAATTGCAGAGTCGTTTGCACCAGTGGTCGCGCGACCGCGTCGCGCCCGGGCATCAATGGCGCCGCCTCGGTCGATGGCGCCGGCGTCGGCAAAATGCCTAGGCGCGACGAGGTCGCGCGACCGCTGGTGCAAACGACTCTGCAGTTTAGGAGCCCTGTATATGTTCTGAATCAGCTTTGGACGCTGGTTACAAATATGCTACTTCTAGCTGCTGAGCACCATTCCGAAGCGTGTTATGGTCTTTTTCCTGCGCAAAATTGACGTAATACTGAACATGGGAAGATTGCCTGTAGGTAAAAAGTCGCAAAAGGTGCTAATATATCGAATCAACATGCATCCTAACTTTTCTCATTAAAAAGAAACTCGCAAGTATGTTAGCACTTAGGTGATGATGTCGTGATGCCGGTGAGTCGAAGAGTATGCCAATTTTGCGCAGGAAAAGTCCATAACTCTTCGGAATGGTGCTCGGCAACTAGAAGTAGCATGTTTGGAATCGGCGTTCAAAGCTGATTCTGATCATACACGTCCCTTGCCAAAAGTGCGAGCTAAGTAAGGTTGCTTTCCTTGTTAGTTTTTGCTTCGTCTGTATGGAAAGCCAGCTACGTGTAAATAAATACGTCGCAGACGTACAAGCAAAAGCATGACAAAAGAAATAAACTCATTGAACCCAAGCACATTTCAAAGTAAAGTACATAGGTGGTTGGTCAATGCTAGATCACAAATTAAAGCATGAACATCCGTTCGAATAATCCACTTCCACCTCGGATGTTGAATAGTACAAAATTAACACTTTGTCATGTCAAAAAAAGCTCTCACCTTACGCTTATTATAAACTATTTCTTTATTCAATTAGCTGGATTGCAGATCTGAACGGCGCAGTTACAACAAAATATGAAATCAGCTCAAATCAAAAAATCAGAAGAGGCTGTCAGGAATAAGGGTTCATGACGCCCTTACCTGATGTGTGTAGCGGTGTTTTACATAGGTGTGGTTATCATATTTATTATATACATAAAGATAGAGAGATGGGAAAGGGAGGGAGAGCAGCTAGGCTGCTCGGAGTGGAGGTGACTGCCGTGCCAGTTGCTGGCACGAGCTTATATATGCGACTGAGTGTAAACGGCTGGACAGTTGGTGAATGCTTCCGATAGCAAGCTACTTCCAACTATAAGGATACAAAGCGGCTACATCCTGACATCTCCATTCCTTCGAGAAGCTCGTCCTCGAGCTTTTTGTAGCAAGGGCGGTATTGGTTTCGTCCGTCGGGGCAGCGGGAGGTGTCCATTGTCGTCGTGCACGCGGAGTTGGGTAGGTGAACTGCGTAAACAGTTACGACCTCTCCTATCCCGGGCACTTCGAGAAGCTCCTCCTCGAGCGGAAGTACATCGATGATCTGTAGTTGGTTTTAGGGGTAATCATATAACATATCGTCATATAACATTGGAAAAAATGATATAGGTGGCTTTCCGTGCAAGACTGGCATGGAGTTCTTTTTGGAGATGGGGCAAAAGACGGGAAGAATTGGATTGCATTGAACTACGAGTTGACATACATCCATATTGTGCATTTTCATGGGTGATAAGCGAACATGAAGGCTAGTCTTACAAAAAAAGTTACAAGCGAAAACTGTTTTGACGGGGTTGCTCAGTACAATAACAAATCAGAACCTGAATTATCAGCTTAGAATGGTTATGAATGTAGACCCTA